GTCGTGAACAAGAGGGGGGTTTGCAAGGTCTTGATTCTCATATAGGCGGGAGAGAGCATCAGCTAAATAGTTGGTTCTTCTAGGGGTGTAGATAATTTTTGCATCGTATTTGCTGATTTCGCCTATCCATCTTGTTCTTCTTCTTCCAGGTATCCTTTCTGTTTTAAGATTAGTGAGGGGTTGGTGGTCGGTAACAATAGTGCAGGTATTGCCCATGAGGATGTGATTGAAAGCAGCAAGGGCATCAATCACAGCAAGGGCTTCCTTGTCTGTTGTCCCATAGTTCATCTGTGAATTAGTGAACTTTCTGCTGTGTAAAGCGGCCGGTCTTGCCATTTCATGGGAGGCTCCTTGTCCAACCCATGCTCCAACGCCAACATCTGATACATCAGTAATCAGCCATATTGGTTCTGGTTTGCTGTAGTCGATAGGTTGTATAACGTTGGCATTTTTTATCAATTCCTTGATGTTGGTATAGGCTTGGTCATGGGTGTGGGTCCAGACAAATTCTGCATTGCCGGTAAGGTCTGTGAGCGGCGCTGTCACAGTGGCATGGTGTGGTAGGAACTGGGCAATATAGTTGACTAGTCCTAGGAATCGCAGGAGTTCCTTTTGATTCCGGGGTGTCGACCATTCCATTAAACAGGCTATTTTTCCTGGGGCTGCGTGTATTCCTTCATCATCTATAACATGTCCTAGAATATCAAGTTTGTCAGCAAACAGGATTGATTTATTTCTGCTAGCGTAGAATTTAGCTTCCCTAAGTTTGGTACAAACCAGACCTATATGGTAGGCGTGTTCTGTTGTGGTGTTCGAGAAGATGAGAATATCATCAATGTAGACCCAAACAAAATGGTGGAGGTATTCGCTCAGGAGGTTTTCCATAATTCACATAAAGGTGGCGGGCGCATTCATATCACCTTGTAACATAACTCGGCTAATGAAACTTCCGAAGGGTGTTTTGAAACTGTTGTAGCATTCGCTTTCTGGATCTAACCTTGTTTGGAAGTAGGCATCGCTTAGGTCAATCTTACTTCGGAATCTAGCCCGTCCAACTGCATTTAGGATCTGGGTTTGGTTTGGGATAGCGGAGCTGTCCATAACCGTGTTTTCGTTCCGTAGCTTGAGATCAACCAAGGGGCGGATTCTTTTACCATCTGCTTTGGGTTGAACAAATATAGGAGCGGCACCTGGGGCTTCTGCCCGGTAGATGACTCCTCTTCTTTGTTGTTGGTTGATCCAATCACAAAGTGGGCTTTTGTATGCGTCAGGAATAGAGTAGGTGGGTTGGTTCTTGAGATTGGAGGGGTCTCGGAGGCGGATGTGGTGGTTCACCTCTCTCATAGGCGGTATTGTCTTCGGGTATGTTGATCAGGGAAAATATCAGAGTATTCATCCAATAGTTTTTGGATAGTTGCTTCACAGACTGCGGCTCGGTACTCTCCGCTTGTTGGCTTGCATGAGACTCTGACCTTCTGATCTGGAAAATCGATGGTTGACTCCCCATACCTGATTATAGCTTTGTGGCGATTCAGGAATGGCATGCCTATTAGGGCCTCGTATTTGGCTAGGTTTCCAATCAGCATTTCCTGGGGGGGTAGTATAGCAGAACCAAGTCGAATAGTTGCAGAACAGGTTTTATGGCTTGTGGATCGTGATCCCTTTACTGCCATATTGACTGGTATGGGTTGGTTAAGGTCTCGGGTTGGGAGTCCATGGATGGAGACAAAGGCATTACTGATCATATCTCTTCCGATTGCGCCAGTGTCGAATAGGACTCGAGCCCTTTTGCCATTGATCAGGATAGTACCTTCCAGAGCGGTGTGTGCTTTGAATGTAGCCGGAGGTCGAACACTGTTGCATTCCACATCGATATATCCGATATGGATCTCTTCATATTCACTGGATTGGGCGTTATCGCTTTCAACATTGTTGGCCGTCACTTCTTGCTTAATTGCCTTTCCTTTTCCTTTCTTCATAGGACAGTTCTTTGCCATGTGTCCTGTTTTTCCACATTCAAAACATTCTCCTTTTTGCCCTCTCGATTCTTTGGAGGATTTTGTTTTCTTCTTGAAAACCCGTGGGGTATCGACTTCAGAGTTGCTGGAGGCTTTGTGTCATGGCTGGCTGTTCCTACTAGAGGATGTCTGTGTTTTGTAGGCCTTGGTCTCATGGAGAATGGCGTCCTTTCATTCTGCTCTTGCAATTATTACTGCAATATCATCGCCGTCTTCCTCGAGTGGTTCTACTTCTCGCCGGAGGGTAGGGTGCATGGTGTCGTAGAATCGTCACTTCAGGATGTATTTGGAGATACTTCCTCTCTCCATCCGGTCCTTATACATCATTAGGTCCGTAGCCACATCGGTGATTCGCTTGACATGCATTCCTTTAACTTGCTGGAGCTGGTTGAATTTGTTGTATAGGAGGTCGTTGGTTATAGAGGATTGGAATCGTCCTTTCAGGTAATCGAGAACTGTAGTTCCTCTTAATCTTACATTCCCGCCGAAATCCTTATAGCATTGGTGGTATGCGTCGGTTGCCTTTCCTTCGCAGAATGATCCAATGATAAGTCCGGTTGTAGGGTCTTCCACATCTTTTCCTTGTAAGAGTAGGAAGTGTGAGAGTTCTGTTGCCCATCGGTCAAAGACTTCAGGTTTGAGGTCTTTTCCTTCTCCTGTGAACTTCGCTGGGAGGTGGAGTTTAAACTTAGGGGATTCAAATGCTGCGGGTACCTCCTCTTCTTCAGGCCTTGCCCGAGAATTCCCTCCTCCAGAAGGCCCTCCTCCTGTGCTAGCCATATCTGATTCGCTACTAGATTCGGGGTCGTTTGGAGGTTCAAAGGAAGGCTTCTTTGCTGGAGTAGAAGGGAATTCTCCTGGAGGTTGTGTATCTTCCGTGTTTGCAGGATCGCCCGGCTCTTTAGCAGAGCGCCAGGGTTGTTTCTTTCTTGTAAGGTCTTGCCGTGGGATTTGCTTCCCACTCCTGGTCATCAAAGACTCTATCTTGGGTTTGAGATGAAGCCGAATGTGCTGTGATTCTGCTGCTTCTCTCCGCTAGCGTTCTGAGGTGGATATCGATAGGTTGATCAGGCCTAAATCCGGGGACAGGTTCTTAGCCACTTGCTGAGGTTAAAAAAATGTAATGTGTTCGCAAGGTGCTAATCACGTTATCGGTAATAGATACGATAGTTGGCAGGTGGCCTGCTCTTCCAGACAGGAGGCGAGAGCTGCGAACTAAAGGAGGCTTTGGAGGTGTACTGAGGAACAAAGAAGTAACCGTTCAACCAAGTATATTGAAATACTCTCTGTCGAAGTCTGCCTTTTCTATCGTAGAAACAGGCGGTCTTTAAATATACAAATCTGTTCATGTCTAGCATGAACGAAACTAATCAAAGGTATCAATCAATATACTTTGGTAAAACTACTTAAATATCAAAGCGATACTTAAAACAAAATATAAAACAAAACCAAGTATCAAACGATACTTAAAACAAACCAAGTATCAAAGCAATACTTAAAACAAAACATAAAACAAAACCAAGTATCAAAGCGATACTTAAAACAAAACTTAAAACAAAACCAAGTATCAAACGATACTTAAAACAAACTAAGTATCACAGTGATACTTAAAACAAAACATAAAACAAAACCAATAACCGAGTACCCGTACTGGTTACACCGGGTAGTTTTAGGTGGTGGTCTTTTTTTTGCGGCATACTTCATATTTCCAGAATGCTTAACCATTGGTAAAAAAGGTAGAGGAAATTAATAAATTAATTAATTAGGTAAAGGAGGCTTCGGTGGGTGTAGATTTGTGAATGGTCACAGTCACGATAGGGTGAATGGTCATGATCAACTTTACACTTCGTTGAAAGGTGGCATTTTGGCGAGGCAGCTTAGTCATCTGAGACCGGTTTCACGAACACTTCTGCCGAGTGACTGTACATACTGCACAATTTTCACGAATTACCAAATAGCGCGAGGAACAAGACTCCCAGTTATGAAATGATGAATGGCGGTTTGTATGATATTCCCTTCAAATTCCTCTTCATTCAACACCACACACCTCCCCAGAAAAAGCATAAGCCATATCCACCCCCCCCACAACTACAACCACAACCACCAGGACCGTAATCCCTTCCCTCCAAAACACAAATCTCCCATCCCATCATGCTCCGCGGCCAGCACGGGCACCTTAAAATTCCCCAAAGGTGCCGGAAACGGTTCGCTCCCGCACCCCGCAGTCCCATTACACACATTTCCAGGTCCCGCAGGGAGCTTTCGTTTCGCACTTTTTCCCACAAAGTAAGTCAAAGATAACTATTTGTTGGCTGTATTTTTATTTTTTGCTCTCTTAGTTACTCCCCTCTTGTTCGTTCCGCTTGTCATTTCATTAATGATATGCTTCGTTGTTGGGGGGCAGGAGTGAGGAAGGAAGGAAGGAGGAAGGAAGGTGTGTGAGAGATCTCCTAGATCGTCACATCTGTCCCTTCATTGTTTAGTATGATACACAACTGGCTCTACGCACATACTGTATGATCACACCAATGTCAACGCGAATTCAACCAGCAGCGTTCAAGGTTAATATAATCGAACATCCCATAATACCCCCAACCCAAGAGGCAAACACCTAGTACCCCTCTGTCCCTCCCCTACACGCTAACGAAAACCGAACTCTAACAAAAAAAAAAAAAAAAAAAAACTTGAGAAACACGGACGGCAAACCCCCATAAACCACCAAACCACCCAGAGCCACACAAAACCCGGTACCTTACATAATGTTTCCATAGCCACCATACTTAAGCATCACACTCATGTAGGTGTGATATATCATAAAAATTTGCTTCAAACATAAGACGGGATATGGGGTTAGTGCCCAGACTCATAGGATATCACTCAGTGGTAATGTCACGTGATAAAGGCGTTCATCCGGACAATCTAGCCCGTGGATCACGCTTGCCAGTAGTGCTATGAGACAAGATAAGGAACAGGACTACAGCGCCGTAAGAGTGGGGAATTAAATTCATCGCAGATGCGTGTAAGCAAGTAGTCAAGATAACCACATCACCCACCACCACACTCAATCATCCTTCCAATATACGTACAATCCGCCTCCTCCTCCGCCTCCGCCATTCATCCATCCATTGGTGCTTTTTTTTGGAAAGAAAGAAAATATATATACCGCTCAAGACAAGAAAAGTTAAAATTCCCCCGGTTCCCCCCTAACACCGAACAACCCCAGCCCCAAAACTCCCACGTTTGCCCAAACCCCCATCCTCCAGCCACGATACAGCCCCTCAACGCCATACCTCCCGCCATCCTCTTCTTTTGCAACGGACCACATTGTTCCAAACACACCCGTATATCTTCCCACAGGAACGACAGTCTTCTTCGGCTTTGTTACTGCGACTTGGCCCCGTCGGAGGGCGGTTTCAAGCGGTAGCCGGACGATGAGCCCCGCTGTGGAGGATAGGAAGGTCACTAAACTGAAGGTTGTCGGGTTCCCGATTGGGTCTATGCCGAAGCGGCTTCGGAGGAAATGTGGGGTCCCTAAAGAAATGAAGGAGGGGAGTGCAGCGTGGAGAGCTGTGGGGAGGAGGAGGTTGGGTGGACAGGTGTAGGAGGGGAGGAGGTGGATATTTGGGAGGAGATTGCGGGGAAGCTCGGTTGGAGGGGTTATGACCAGTCTTGCTTCGGGTCAGTACATATATGGTGGAGGGAAGGATGTGAGTAGAAAAAAGAAGGCACCTTGTTCGGACTATATCTATTGGCGCCAGAATTAGCGCTGTGACAGTGCACGCTGCAACAGCTACACCCAGTGACGCCAGCGGATCGGCCGAGTCCGCAATCTCCCCCATTCCCGGATCCGGCAGCGACAGCACCGCTGATAGAAATGATCCCGTCCAACTTTCCAACGTCCGCATAAGAATGTTATACACAAACGTTGCGTTCTGACCTATCCATCCTCTCAGTTCAATACTTATCCCATCCCCTCCTATTCCACAGAAGTAGCGTACCTTTCCAAATCCCTGAATACCCCTCTTTACTCCATAAGGCTCTCAGCATCTCCCCCACGGTGTTCACCCGTCCCTGTACAGTCTCGAGCATCCACAGCGGCCGCACTTCCTGGCCCCCCTGACCCCCACCGATAACGTGCCCAGCTCTACCCGTCATACCACTAGGCGGCTTCTGCACGCCCCGCATCCGCGGGACTCCACCTCTGTCCAGCTCCTCCTCAACGTCCTCCGAAAAGTAGGGCGGGTCCGAATCATCGCTTGCATACTATCCAAGCTCCCCATTAGCGAAGCTTAGCAGAAGGAGAGAACGGGCATACATCATCGACATCCTCCTCGTTCTCCTCCACAATCCTCTTCCCAGCCCCCTTTGGCACAGCCCCGCATTGTAACAAGGTCCGGGAATTCTCGAACGGCAGACCAATTAGTTGCAGAGAGTACTGTACTGCAGCTTGCTGGAACCATCCTTTGATAACTTCTTTCGGGGATTGATCCTCGAGGTATTCCGAGTAATCCGCCAGTATGCTACCACCGCTTCTCGAATCTGTCGGTGCGGGTGGATACGAGTATGACGCAGTGGGGAGAGGTGCTGGTGTTGGCGCCGAAGAGTCGAGTGGAGGTATCGGGGGTGAGGGGATGTAATATGGTCGTAGTGGGTTTGGGCCCTGCCGTGTCGACATGATACCAGGTGGGAGTTGTTCCGTTACGTTTCGTTTTTTCGTCTACCGAACCTAACCTGTGCTCCTTTCGATGCCGGGAGGGAGGGATTAATGAAGGGGGGGTGGGGTGGGGACGGAGGAGAGGAGGAGGAATGAGAGAAGAGGGAGGGGCAGAATTTAAGGTGGGGATAAGATTGATCTTTTTTTTTTCTCCTCTTTTTTTTCCCTCTCTTGTTTTGTGGGTGTTAGTCTACTCGTAAAGGGCCCGTGGTCCGTAACGGTGCAAATCGTGGTGGCGGTGGTGCTGGCGGTGGTGGTGGTGGTGGTTGTGATGGGTGTGCTGTTCGACCCAACTGCCCCTCCACCCATGAACTCCAGCAAGGCGTTGCTGTGCCACCAAAGATAAGATAAGATTGAGATCCAGCGACTCACAGATTTTTTCCCCTCCCCATAAATTAAAAGTAATAAGATCACCAACGAGTAAGGCGACCAATGGGGTCACGTGATGCACAACCAAGTGTCAGTCTTCAACCTCCAAAGCTCGAATGTGGATGCAGACCAAGATTAACTTATTGACAAGCTACTCCTACCACACTATTTACTTTACCGCAATTGCACAATAGTGTATCCTCACTTACAGTAGTGCACAGTACATAATATTATATAGTGTTATCAAAGAACCACAACTTCTCGGTGCAAAGATATTTATTCTTCCTAAAAACCCGTTCAACCATAACAGAGCTCCCGGAATCTATCCTAAGACAGTACCTCTACCGGTGTTTAGGTCTTTCGTCAGTCCATACATGGATGGAACACGATAATACAGCATCGCTATGATATAGCAATTCTCCTCCTCCTCTTCTTCTTCCCCCCTTCCTAGCGAAATGTTTTATCACATCACTCTCTCTCTTTTCTTTTACCATTCTTTCTCCCTTTCCCCCCCTTCTCACCAACGAGCATTCAGACCCAACCCCACTGTGAACCCTTGCAATCCGCTCTATCGCAATCCCATGGTTCTCTCCCACTCCTCCTCACCCAAGCCAAAAACACCCGTGATAAAAATAAGGATAAAAAATAGAACACCCACCAAGGAAAACGAAGTATGAACCCACCATCCACCTGCTCAAACTATTGCGACAAAAGGGACAAGTAAACCACAAACAAGGTAAAAACAAAAAAGGAGAAAAACAACAAATGCAACCCCAATCCATCTTAATTTGTATGGAAAACAGAGCAGAAAAGACAGATCAAAGATCTTGTTCCTTTGAGCGAGAAATACCGATAATGTTGATGTTACCGGAGGAAAAAAAATAAAACAAAACGAAAATGACTTACCCACCACATACCCCGTTTGATAAAAAGGAAGAAAAAGCACGCACAATCATAGACCCGGAAAACATCAAAACTACTTTACAGAAGAGAAAAAAAGGTGCCCAGACCGCCCCCATACCCACCCGACGCAAATCAGGCAAGGAGTAAAAATGGAAGAGGTGGAGAGATAGAAAATGTCACCCTGTCATATAATAGCGTGAAAATACACTAGCTAATCCATAGTAGTGATGTTGTTGGAATGATAATAACAGTATGGCGCTAGTAGTGATTAACCAGACACAACTCTCGATCCCCTCCCACTCACATAGAAAGGCAAATGTCAAGGAAAGCAGGAAACAAAATTATTTGAAGAATTACTGGGGTTGAGCCTGGCCCTGATTTTGATTCTGGCTCTGCGACTTCTGGTTGACCGCCTCAAGGGAGGATGCATGGGATTTCCACTCGATTCTGGTTCCTTGTGGAAGGTTAAGCCTGCGTTTGACAGTTTCCCTACCCACGCGACGTTAGCGCTCGGCCTCGAGAATCCTCGAGAAATTAGGATATACGAACTTGATCTTCAAGCAGCTCGACCCGTCCACTCTAGTCCAAACACTGAGAACATCCTCATTTCCTCTAATGCTCAAAACAGCCCCACAAAGATCCTCACCGGCGTCACCAAATTGATCGCCGACAATCGCCAAGAGAAGTTCCTCCCAGTATCTAGTGCTAACACCCTTCTTCAGACGGATGTTCCACTTCCCACCCTTCCTATTCTCCTTGTCCTCCCAAACCGGCCTAATTCCTTTCTTAAAGAGATGGTAGTCGCTCACGTGTGGCAGGACATTCGGCCTGCGCAAGTGACAGTAGACGCACCAGAACTCCTCAACGGTCCCAAAATACGCAATCTTCTGCGTGGACTTTTCATAGTCCTGGAACTTGTTTCCCGGAGAGCGGTACCAAACTACCCAAACATTCTTCAATGGATGGGAATCCTGCTGGTTAACAGCAGCAAGATTACTGTTGGACTTTTTGGTTCCAGCAACAACTTCGGAGGCAGTCAAACCCTTCGGCAACGAAGGGGTAGCAATTGCGCCGGTACTGATACTACCAGCAGCATTCAGACCGTCTCCGCCTGGAGTCTTCGGAGTCTTGAGTCCAAAAGAGCCAAAGGCACCTCCGATCCCGAGATTGAAGGCAGCAGACGCAGACTTGGCTGCGTTTGCGGTTGGAGACGGAAGTGCCGGATGACCAGTATTGATATTATGTAGCTTGGCGAAGGGATTTTCATACGACGGTTTGTGAGAAGAGGTGAGTTTGGCAGAGGGAGGCCCGAAAATCCTGGAGGAGGGGGCATCGCCAGTGGTATTATTGTTACTGTTATTGTGCGCAGACGAAGACACCGAAAGAGAAAGTTTACCAGTGCTAAAACCAATGTCAACAAAAAAAAGCGAGCAAAGGCAGAGGGCCAAGGGACAAACTTGGACCGTCGGTTCCATAGTGAATTAGACTCCATTTGATGACGAATAGGTAAACTATGGGAAAGAGACGGAAGAGTAAGAGAAATTTGGCTGGACGTGGGAGGAGAAACGAGCGGCAAGCAACCTCTGAGTGCCTGGAGGAGGGGGCGGGGTCAATGTCACTGTACAGCGGAGGGGGAAATTTTTAGGAAAAGACGAAGGAAATGAGAACGAGGGGCGTATTTGTCGGCAAACGGTAAACAGGGTATCAGAACAAATCTGTTGTGTCGTGACCTTTTGTCAGTGGCCGTGGCTAAGAAAGTCGGCCTCGGAGGCGTCCAATGGCAGATAGATGTCAAAGACAGGCCAGTGTGCTTTAGCGGTCGGGGTATGCAAAAGTTGGAGGAAAAGAAATGGAACTGTAAATGTATCAATGAGAAAAACTGAGAGGCCAAAGAAGCTGGATTAGTTGAGCGGTAGTTGTGGTAGAAGAAAAACGGAAGGGTGTGGATCGCGGGAGTGAAGAAGTGAAGGGAAAAGATACCGTGGGTCAACGTCAAGGGAAAAATAAAAAGGGTGGAGAGTCAAGGGAACAGAGAGGGAGAGGGAGGGTGGAAGGGTGGGACAAGAAACGCAGCGATCAATCAGATCGGATCGTATCACGACACCAACCAAGACAAGAAAGATGACCAGGATGAACAAAGGACAGGTGAATGGAGGGTGGAAGAAGATATGCACGAGTACAGTACAGTACGAGTACTCTTTGGCCACAACCACAAGAGAACGCCAGGTCAAATTTTGTTGTATATGGTCTATGCCGTGCGTATGAGAAAAGAGGTTGAGGTTGAGGAGTGGGGGGGGGACAGGAAGTGGAATAGGGTGACTAAAACTGTGAGGGAAGGGGAAAGGGAAGAGGCAGTATGAAAGATGTGGATTTTTACCCGCAGTGGTTGTTGGACACAAATAAGAATGAGGTGCGGCTTTGCGGGTCCTGGTCTTTTCTGCCTTGGTGTTGAAAAAGCTTGGAGGGGGTGTGCTCTTTCCTTTCCCCCTAATCCTTCCCTTGATCTCTCTAATTATAATAACCAATTTTCAATATTAACACAAGCAGTTCCCTGTTTCCCCCGCGATACTGTAGGTCATAACCAACAAACTATCCAGCACCCGCCAAGGGACCTTTTTCCCCAGTAAAAATTCGAAAACGCCAAGACAAAGCTCAAACACATATAAATGGCAAAGCTCATCGCTGCTTTTCTCCCTTTCTCCTCTCAACAAACCGAGACCACCAACTCAAATCATCATCAGCTGGCATTTCTGCTCCACCCAGCTGGTGACTCCGATGTGTGTCGAGACCAAGGCAGGTTTTCCGAAACCCTCCTCTAAAACCGTTGCTACGAGGAGTTCGTCCTCTTGGACTGATGCTCTCATGAAATGGGGACGACCTGAAGAGAGGGACATTCTCGCTACCCCCGATGATGATTGTGACGATGGTGGTGATGTTGATCTCACTTACGATGGGACTAGGCTATTTGAATCCAACGCGTCCCAATTCCCGGTAATGACTATGATCAAAGTTGCCATACCCGTAAGTCTACCCAATCCTGCCACCCTGTTTGCGCCTCCAATCCCTTCCATACTTTCCCTACGAGACACCCCCCCCCCCAAGATGATGATATGTACGAGCTCTGGTAACCCGACCCAACCGCTCCTGGCCTCTATGGCCTCTACACACGAGCCGGTTGGAAATGACGCTCAAAAGGCACAGACTGATCCGAGAACCGCCATCTTTCTTTCATCCCAATTCTTTTACTGTTATCTTCCCCCTTACTAATAAATTGGCAAGAAATTTTTAGCGATCACGCAACATTCCACGGGATACATGCACGGGGAATCGTTTTGTTTGCCTACAAGTTGAACTAGTTTGTCGCCTGATGAAGACCTAACCGGAAAGTATGCACTCTGCCGGTTAGTTGTCCTTACTCTGGTCTTCCTGTGCGTTGCTGGCCCGTTTGATGTCTCCTCCAGTGTTTAAATCTACATCCTACAGTGAGGCAGTGAGGGATTAACCGCCGTGACGCCCCATACCCGAGTACCCCACGGGGACCATATCGACTCCAGTTCATCCTTGTATGTTGCATCATCCCGATCAGAGGTACCTTCCGTTACTGCGCTCTATCAGTAGTCACGATGGAGGTGCTTGCCGGCTTTTACGGGTATTCAGGACGGGGCTCCAGGACCACAGAGGCTCTTGGGACTTTCCATTCTATGATATTCTAGCTAGGTAGCCTAGTTACATATTGAAAGTTATGTACTTTCATTTCCCGCAGTTAGGACTCAATCGATATAAGACAATCTTTAGCAAACCTCTTGTAGCACAATACCGGTGATCACCAAGACTCTCGACCGGGTAACACCCCCGTTCAACTTCTTTACCCCTCCACTAAAAATATATCTTTTTAAAAAGGAAAAAGAATTCATGCGGCTCATCCCATCTCATCCCATCCCATCCATTCAGTGACCTCATGCCACACTTGTGCATCCATAGCACCAATTGCACAACGATACCCCCCTCACCCCAAATAATGTTCCCCAGAGCAATAATAACCCCCACAGCCCGTCTCCTCCTCCGACAGCCCCATTTACATCTCCCATTGCGAACCTCGCCCCCCCCTCTCCCGATTCTCCCGTCCATCCTCGCCCGATCATTCTCAACAACCCTCCTACGAAAACATGGCCACACCACCCCACCAAAGCCCGGCGAAGAGTTCCTTCACCCTCCCTCCTCCGCCCCCCGAACAGCCTGCTAATTGTGAGAGGGAAAAAACAGGCTCTACGTAACATTCATCGACAAATCCTCAAACCCACACAAATTCGCCGTCTCTGCCGGCGAAAACTTGTTGGACATCGCGCAGGAGCACGACCTAGACATGGAAGGCGCCTGCGGCGGATCCGCTGCTTGCTCGACTTGTCATGTCATTGTTGCTGACGACGCCATGTATGATCGCATACCCGAGCCCGAGGATGACGAGAATGATATGCTGGATTTGGCATTTGGACTTACGGAGACGTACGCTCCTCCTATGAGACGAACTTCAAGTCGGGGCGCGGCTAACAGGAGGGGGGTGCGTAATAGGTCACGGTTGGGGTGCCAGGTTAAGATGAGCAAGGAGATTGATGGGTTGGTGGTCAAGTTACCGTCCATGACAAGGAATTTGCAATCGAGTGATTTTTCGAAGAAGGAGTAGTTTATAGGGATCCTTGTTAGCATTGTACCTTAAGGTTACGGGGTGGGTGGGTGGGCGGACTGATAGACGGCGTGTTGTTCAATTAAAAGCAAAAAACATCCGGACTCTGGTCTTCCCCGTCGGGGGGGCGGGTTTTTTAAAAAATAAAATAGAAACCCAGAAACTTTTGACATAATTACAGGTTTGCACGTATATATGGGAAACGTAGTTGGAGGTAAACTTTCGGAGGTGATCATTTCCCGCCAGACTGGATGAGACTTAGGAAGCCCTGCTTCGACATTTCCGTCACTATAAATATTCCATTAGCCATTGATCCCGATCCCAAAGCCCATATGCAGGGAGACATTATATGATACCTTTCTCCTCCCTCTTCGCAATGCCCACAACCCCCTTCCTCTTCACAACCCTACTCCCCTCCTCGCCCTTGATCTGTGCAGCCCTAACTGCATTAAACAACTTAACCACCCCTCTCTGCGCCGTCTTCCTAAGCTTCTTCTCAAGCTCCAATGCCTTCCCCGCCGCCTCATCATCACCCTTGGGCACAACCTCCTTCACCCGCCCCTTCTCCAACCCCTTCCTCTTCTCCTCGCGCAGAACTCTGCGAGCCTTCGCCTCGATCTTGCTCTCGTCAACCTCCGCCGCGGAGTGCTTCGCACGGACGAGTACGGGATCTTTGCGCGCCGTCGTGGTCAAGTGCGAGGAGAGGATCTTCGACATTGCCGTGGAGAAGCCTTCGGGGTCGTTGCGCCTACGCTTTTTTGTAGGATGCGGGGCGGAGAGAAGGTCGGAGAGGTTGTCATCGGAGTCGGCGCCACATTCGGAATTCGTAGCGCTAGCAGAGGAAGATAGGGAGTACTCGTCGGCTTCTGGGTCTGATGCGTCCGAGGTTTCGTTTAGGTCCACACCGCCGGCATCGGTGGAACATTCGCTGTCGGATGATGATGATGATGATGTGCTAGGACTCGCAGGGTTGTTCTTGACAGAGATTTTTTTCCTCTTGACATCCGCGGTGGTGGCGCTGGTTTTGCGTTTTTTGGTGGCATGCGATGGCATTGTGTCTGCTTGTTTTGCTGGTTGGTTTGCTCTGTTCGTTTGTTGTGCAGTTGTGTGATACTTCGTATGTAGAGAGCTAGACGGTAAGTTATGATACTTGTAGAAAATTTAATCTTCAGTTACCCTCTCTTTGCCCCACCCTGTTAAAACGGCTATCATAATAATATTATTATTATGATACCAGTATGGTACGATAGGCAGTAGGGTCGCAGAGCCTCATACTGGTATCATACCCACCACTAAAATACCAGTAAACAAAGTGATCTCGTAAAACAATTTTTAACCCCCGCCCCTCCATCATGAGGACCTCATTATGGCAATTCGCCCAGCCACGGGCAACAACGAGAAACTGGATCTGCCAGCGCTGTTCATCCATCCCGCGAAGACCAACGTTCAATGCCACCCCCGCCGGCGGTAGTGGAAGCACGACAAGGAGGAAGTACTCCTCCGATGCGAAGAAAAAGTCGGAGAAGCCGTATTATGTGACTACGCCGATATTTTACGTCAATGCCGGTACATATTCCCCCTCATTATCGCGATTTTATGGAGTCTGTTAGCTAAGGCAATATGTCAGATCCACATATCGGGCACCTGTACACCATGGTCCTAGCCGACGTCTTGAAACGCTGGCAGCTCCTCCTGGGCCGGAAAGCATTGCTAAGTACGGGTACAGATGAGCACGGAATGAAAATCCAGCAAGCCGCCGCAATGGCTAATACTCCGCCTAGGGAATTCTGCAACATGATTGCTGATACATTCAAGGTCCCCTTCCCCCTCCCCATCACAACCCATCACTCACCCCCCCACAGAATCTAGCGATAGCAGCCAACGTCTCCTACGATTTCTTCATCCGCACCTCCTCCCCTGCGCACGCTGAGACGGTGGAGTATATCTGGCACAGGTTGCAAAACAGTGATCACATCTACCCGGGTAAGCATAGCGGCTGGTACTCCATCTCGGACGAGACCTTCCACCCATCGAGTGGCATAACCACTGTAGTGAATGCAGAATTGGGCAGGAAACAACAGATCTCCACCGAGACCCAGAATGTTGTGGAGTGGACGGAGGAAACAAACTACCACTTCCGCCTCTCAGCCCTCGCCCCACAACTCCTAGAATTCTACCGGGCGAATCCAGATTGGATCGTGCCCCTCGCACGCTACAAGGAAGTCATCGCTGCGGTGGAAAGCGGCCTCGAAGACCTCTCCATCTCGCGCCCGCGCTCCCGCCTCCACTGGGGCATCCCAGTGCCTACAGACTCCACACAGACAATCTACGTCTGGCTCGACGCGCTAGCAAACTACCTCACAAACACCTCATACCCTACCCCCCCTCCCTCAACCTCCTTCTGGCCAGCAGATACACACGTGATAGGCAAGGACATCCTCCGCTTCCACGCAATCTACTGGCCCGCCTTCCTTCTCGCCCTCGACCTCCCCCTGCCGCGTTGCATCCTAACGCACGCGCACTGGACCATGAACCACCGCAAAATGAGCAAGAGCACCGGCAACGTCGTCAACCCCTTCTTCGCCCTAGATAGATTCGGCGTTGACACTGTGCGCTTCTACCTCCTCCACGAAGGCGGCATCACCGACGACGGCGACTACGACGTGCGCTCCGTGGTAGACCGCTACAAGAAGAGCTGCGCAGGCGGCCTGGGAAACCTAGCCGGCCGTATACGTGGGCGACGGCTCAATCTAGAAAGAGCTGTCAGGCGTTACGCCAAACTCAACATGTCAAAACTTCCCCCAGCAGACCAAGCGCACTACAATCTCCTACTCGAGACTCCACACCTAGTAGCGAGGAAGATGGAAGACTTACACCCAAATCTAGCATTAAAAGATATCATGAACGCAGTTTACGAGGTCTTCCCCCTCCCCCCTTTACCCCCCATTTTTCCCCACCAGTAACTAACTCATCCCAGACAAATAAATATCTCCAGCACGCCGCACCCTGGAGTGTCTACCATCCCGAACAGCAGGACCTACCAGTCTACCTATCCGCCGAAACCGTGCGCATCGCGGGAATCCTACTACAGCCGTTCATGCCCGGTAAGATGAAGGAGTTACTAGATGGGCTGGGCGTGGGCGAGGATAGGCGCGGGTTTGGGTACGCGGTTGTGGGTGGGGATAGGGAGTATGGGGCAGCGGTTGTGAGGGGGGGGGGTAAGGGGGAAGCGGGGAAGGAGAGTGCGAGGATGGGGGTCTTGTTTCCGCCCCTTGATGAGGGGTTTTAGTAGATTGTTGAGTTGGTGAGTGTGGACGCGTCGGTGTGGGCGAGTGACTGGTTGTGATGAAGGGTTGGTTGTGTGATAATTAGGCCTATCAATAAGGGGAGCGAGACGGTAGATGCCAATTTTGCATCGTAATTATTATCACAGCTACGGTAGCCATCACTTGATCACTATGATACATCTCGCTCACAAACACAGCTCTCCCGGCGGTGGGGAAAAAAAATAACCCTTTATATCGCCACACCAACTACCCACCCACAAAACTCCTCTCCCCTGTTTATCCAAAAATCCACTCAACCCAAAATACAGACAAGGCACCAACGCCACCAGATAACCCCACCGGTATCTAAGCGCAAATCAAGTGAATAATCAGATAAAAACACCTAGCCGCTGAACTAACAGGTAGCTCTCCTAATCCTGCGCATTATGAGTACCTCCTCTTTTCCCCCTCACCCCACTTCCATTCCCACCACCACCACCGCGCTCTCTTCCACCACCCATTCTGCCCCTTCCACGCCTCGGGGAATTCAGATTAGCCGGTGGGGGAACAGCCCTATAACCATCACCGGAAACCTGAGACCTCTGTAAGATCGCCGGTGGGCCACCGTGGACAAGCAAATGTGCTGTCCTACCGCTACCGCCACCGCCCCGGAAGGATGGGTATCCGTTAGGACGACTGCTATTGCGGGGTCCCGATGGAGGGCTGTGATTGTGGCCGTTCGATCCGATTCCTCCACGATTGCGCCCTCTCCCTCCGCCACGTGGGGAGTGTGCGCCGTCGCGGCCACCTCGGCCACCACGGCCACTTCCCAAGACAGCTAAACTAAAGCCTCCCGTGAGTTGGGGTGGCGTAGAAGTGGATGTATGCCAATTAGGAGTAGCATTGGTAGGAGGGGGCTTGGCCAGTTCACTAGCTTTGGATTCCACAATCAGCTGACGATTGGTAAGGTTTAGTACACTCGAGACCGGAACCGTCATTCCTCGGAATGGGGAACACCTGTCACTGAGCGTTGTACCGCTCATAAAGGCGAGATCGAAAACCACGTCCAATAGCGTCTGCCTTGTAGTCCTGGTCAGGCCAACGACAGTCCCTCTAGTCGCAATTGGAACTTTGCCAGAATCCTGAACGTAGACAACTCTATCACCCAAACTAAACCACTGGTTGTGTAATCTGTGCTCCGCATCGCTGGGTTTTAACAATGCCTTGCGGGGAACGCCCCTTATACGTCTGGGCTTCGAGCCTTCCAATTCTTGCATATATTGATTGGCCGCTGCTTCAATCTCCCCAACAGCACCCCCGTCAAGCTGCTGAGCTTCCAACGGCACCTTCTCAAAGCTTCTGCTCTGAACACTCTTTAGCCAATCTTGGATTTCCTTGATTTTGGCCTTGCTCTGCGAAGGGTCAAAAAAGTCCGTGTCGGAATAAAGGTCTCCTTGTGGGTTTCTCTGGATCCCCTGGAAGAACTGAGGAAATTTGGCGATATATTCTTGGACAAGGTCAACCGCCTTTTGCGAGAACTCCCATCCGTTATCTCCGCGGCGAGAGTATCCCAACACTTTGAGTTTCTTAGCCTCGAACTTCAAGTTTAATCCTAGGTTAAGGCGGTTATCATCAACCACCACTGTAAAGCTTGATGTAATCCTGCTAAGAACAAGCGGATTAAGTTTAAGTATGCGAGCAACGGCATATGACGGTGTGTAACGAGTGGACTGCTCGGCCCTAATGACAATATCTCTGCCAAAATCCGGCTCTTTTGCTTTCTGCACATCGTTAGCATCCATCTCAAGTGCCCAACGAAAGTGCAACCACTCACCATGGTAGCAATCCAGATGTCCACCCTATCGGTGTCATGCCGAACGACTTCCAAAGGTCTACCATAATTGAATTCTCCCAGGAAAAAGGCGCGAGAACCCTCGGGAAACTCTTCTGCGATAGGAATGGCAGATTTCTCCAAAAATCTTTGATCTTCACTGACAACCTCTTCTACAACAGTTTGGGCTGCGTAGTCAGTTTCAATGCCCGGAACCTGGGCATATTCCTTGACCATAGCCCCTTCATCTGTCCTCTTTAATCCCTTCAAGATATCGACGTGCAGAACGACTTCAACAGCGCCAATGACGATACCCATCTTTTTGCTGTAGGTATTCTCCATTCTCTCGGCCTTTCGTCTCCAAGTTCCCAACTCAATTGGGCTATGGGGAACGGGAATTACCTGACCATTTTCAATCCTGTGATATCGGAATAGTTCATCTGATACTGCACTAACACGTCCCTCTTGCAGGAACGGATATCCTATCCCTCATCTTAGCAGTAATAATAAAAAATCCCCCTGTGGGGCAAAGTCTCGATTGCACTCACCAACAAAAACCCTCTGTCCGATCCTGTTCTTTGCTTCCTCAACTCCCCCATCCTGATAGGCGTTCCCCAACGTGAGTATCATGCTCTCGTTCCTGCTATCCTGTTGGAAAACATTAACTCCGTGGTATCCCAACTCCGCCGTATGAGAAAGAGTCTTAAGGCTGGGAAATCCAGCTAATGCATGAATCCCAAGCTTTGCCCCTTCACAAAGCCCAACGATAATCTCCAATCCTTCAAGTGTTGGTAACTCAAAGACGTTAGCCACACAATGACAGCGGGCCAATTCCGGAAATACTCCAGGCATGCTAGAAGGGTACATCTCATCGATGTTTGGATTGTAAGTAAACTTTAGAGTAACACCAAAATCGTTCCGAGAACGTTCCTCCGGGCTCAAGAGATGCTCTTTAGTCCGCATAGCTGGGAGAAGTCTGTCCTCTTCAATAAATGGGATCTTGACAACAGCTTCCCACTCCATCTTTTTGCCATTCATATCAAGCTCGAAATCACGAGGATAAAAGTCTATGATAGGCGATCCAGGATCGGTCATAAGGTCCTTCACATAATTAGCTTCGTTGTAACCCCTAGTTGGAAGGGGGGGTTCACATGATACGCTCCCGGAACAATCGTTTTACTTCGATCAGGCAAAACCCCCATAAGCTGCTCGAAAGGCTTGAAAGGTTTCCCAAGCTTGAAATTCAAATTCGCCTTGAGTCCCTTATGAACATCTATAACACATCAGTATCAATTCCATTTCTGCACTCAAGATATGCCTACCAGAAATTCTGGGCGAGTAATGATAGCGGTAGTACCAAGGCCACGACGCTACCCCTCTATAATAATAATAGAGTACCCACTGCAGACCTTCCACATAGTTTTCTGTCAAGTGTTTCATTTCCTCTTCGTTTTCTAAACCAAAACCAAGCTTGCCCTAACGACATCATGGAACGCTGTCAGTAAATGAGTACCCATGTATGTCAGACTAAAGAAACAGACCTTGTAGTATTCGTCCTTCCACTCGTAAAAACCTTGCTTATACTTCCTTTCTAACTCAGCTTTTACTTCATCCACTGAAACGTCTACAACCTCTGCCTTGTTATATTGCTTGAGCACCCTCAAGACAGCAGCTTGGCCCTCTTCATCTTCCTCGCTGTCCTGTTCCTCCTCATCGTCACTGTTATTGTTCCCGTGGTGACTTAGAGCCAAATATAACTCTCCTTGCTCATTCTCTAGCCTCTGACAATTAAGCCTTAACGATGCTGCAAGCTCCTCCACAAACCTCCTGTCCTTTGCCGGATAATCGGCAGGGACATCGAACACCTTAGGTCCCTTTCTATGTCTTCTGTCCTCAAGCCACTTCTTAACCTCTGTAAACATCCGTTTTTGTTCGGTTGTAAGGACTATTCTTCCTTTGCCCTTTGCTTTCTCCAGCGCCTCAAGGGCGCCCCTTTGTTTTCCCTTCAGCCAATTGGCGGCTGAAGACTCAGACTCATAGAGTTGTTCCTCAAATTCCGACAGCGCTTCCAAGAGCAATAACAATCGCTCCAAATTAATGACACCATGTTCGTTGATGTAACCCTTTGCTCCAGGTAGTATTTTCTTATACACCTTAAATTGTAGCGATAGAGCCCCCTCGTTGATGTGTAGGCCAGGTAAGTTTGGCAAGAAATCATTACCAACGAAAAACGCTAGGAGAATGAAATCATCGATAATACGCTCCATGTCGAATGGGAATGACAGCACACCTGGCTCCCTAAGTTCCTGGAACTCATGTTCTAGATACTCGCGCACCACACTCAGATGCATCAAATAGAAATTCTGATGTTCCAGTTCCTTAGATTTCGCTCTGCTCTGCCGGCCAAATGTTACTTCTTCTCTCAACAGACAGAAGTGGGGGTCGTGTGACAACAGTCCCAACATGATTAGATCGGCATCCAACCCGTATAAACAGTGGCGAACATTAGGATCATATGAGGGCTGTGCTTTAGCAAGACGAATATACTCCATAATCTTGTGCTCTCCCTCTCCGGGAACCTCATGACCGGACAATACAACCTCCACACCTTGCCAATCAACATCTTCCGACACCTTCTTATTGATAAAATACTTTAGGTGCGCGGTCAGCTTTGCCATAAACTCCGTTCCTGTATACAGCCTTGAGTTAGCTACCTGCCCTTCAGTAAGGAGAAAGGAAGAGAGAAATAAAATAAAAATATTGTTTAAGGCCCGTACCAGGTGTAATGCAGTTGCTGTCAAAAGCCGCCTCTTTGGGCATCTCTACCCCTTCGCGGATAGCTTTCTGCTTTGCATTATCGGCGTCCAGAGCAGTCCTACATTTTGCCCCTCGTCAACTTCATATACCAATCACCCAGAACCCCAAAAACCACACACCTAAACCGTCTAGCACGCTGCTGGTTCATCTTGGCACGGGGCGCCACCCCATCTATGGCCATGAAAAAAAGCTTTCTAGGCTTTATCTTCCCAAACAAGTGCTCGATGTAGTTGAAGATCGCAATAAACATGACATCCTCGGTCATGCGAAATGTAGGACTATCGCTGTCCCCATGGGTACAGTTGTGGATAATACCATTCATGTCCAACTGTTAATAAAGTTAGCAGCTCAACCACAGCCTACCGGGAAGTGTACACGATCACTTGGAAGAATCAATGGAAACAAAATGGGAGGGGGGGCGGTTCAGGCTTACGTAGAGGCAATCGAACTCAGGAATGCGATTTTCAGCGATTAACTGAGAAATGGTAGGATAGCGCTCTGATAGCCATCGGAAGAACTTTGGAACGCCCATGACTTGATTGCCACGATAGAGTTGTTAGGGAAAGCTTTTATGAGATTTGATTTGGCAGTTGAGGGAATTCGTGAGTTGTCGCTGTTGTTTCGTCGATGACAGGAAATGGGGCGAGCAACGAAGCCACTATTATACCAGGGTCTTCAACCCAACCTCCAGGACGAGTAAAAACAAATGAACAGGGAACAAAAAAAAAAAGGAAGATGGTTCCAGGAACGATTCCCTAGACAGGTTTTGAGACTAGAAAGGGTCTTGTCTGTTCAGGAATGGGGGGTCCTTCGTTACTAGAATCGTAAGGTATTGGTATGACACCAGCAAGAAGTGAACAGAAAAATTGGGAAGAAGAAAAGAAAAATGAAATGTTCGATTCGTGACTTTAGACAGCTTTCAAAGAATGAAAGGGGAGAGAAGGAGAGTTAAGTGAAAAGTAAGATGATGGTCAAAGATAACTAGAGAGCCTAATAGAGATCTATGATGCTTGCATTAAATATTATACTCGAGCAGGTTGGGGGAGCGATTACTACAAGCCTCAGCCCAGGCGCGGCAGGGCCCCACCGGGTATTGCCATAGATACTTCGTACCACGCCTGAATCCCACAGGAAGTGAAACAGGCTCGGGAACTGATGAGGATGGACTTGATGGCATTTGAAAATATATAAAAAATGTATGGAAATTTTTGTCTAAAGGTTTTATGTGAGATGTAAGTGATGGGGAATCAGTACTTGATCTTCTCGTGTGCTCCGATTAATACATCATAAATGCTGTGGGCTGCTTGTGTTGAGCAGGTTGTATTCCACAAATCACTTGCACCAGTACTGTAAAGTACTGTACAGTAAGCCTTAGCTTGAAAACGACGCGACGTGAAGTGTGGAACAGGCGCGGCTCCCCAAACCTTTTCTCATCTCACCTCGTCACCTTCGCAACCCTAAGCCCAACCAGCTCCTTTCACCCTTCTGAAAACGAAATCGACAAACTTGAATATCCAACCATATTTAACGACCCGACAAAGATTTCCGTCACCGACCGCCTACACAAACTCTTCACTTCACCATGTCTACCAACATGGACGACGATATCGACAGTATGCTCGTCCCCAATCTCAACAACCACTCAACTCCAGTTACTAATAGGCGTATAGTGGACCCCAGTCTCCGCGACCACGAGGAGCAGATTGTTGTTGACAAGATCATCAATGAGGGTAATCCAAGCCCCTTCTTATACCACCCATCACAGGTCACTTCTTTGGAGGCTCTCTGAAAGTGTCGAGACTAATGGTTTGGCGGGGCCGGGATCGCAGAGTACAAAATCTGGAAAAAGAATGCGCCATTTCTTTATGACCTAATCTTGAGGTATGCTCATCTGACCACCCAAAACCGCAAGTCCTAAATAAATGAGCACGTTACTGAATTTCCACTCCTTTCCCAGCTCCGCATTGGAATGGCCGACATTGACCACTCAATGGTTCCCCGATAAACAGAAGTAAGCCTCCCCCCATTTCTCCCAAGCCACCTTCACCTATCCATTATGTGCGAACACTCATTGTGGCTAGACACACAGGGAAAAACTATTCGACCCATCGCCTACTTATCGGGACGCACACCAGCGGTAACGACACTAACTATCTCCAAATTGCTGAAGTGCAGCTTCCGAACCCAGTCACTGAACACGATCCGAATCGATACGATGAAGACAAAGAGGAGATTGGCGGCTACGGGGGCGGGGCAGAATGTCGTCTACACATTCAGCAGAAAATGGTTCACGAGGGAGAGGTCAACAAGGCGCGGTACATGCCGCAGAAGCCTGACTTGATTGCTACAATGTGCGCAGACGGAAATGTGTTGGTGTTTGATAAGACCAAGCATCCCCTAATGCCTACCAATACTTCTAAATGCACTCCACAGATGACTTTGGTTGGCCATGGAAAAGAGGGGTGAGTGAAGGCCTAAGTAATCCCGGAGGTGGTAATATATGCTAATCAAGAGCTGGCAGTTACGGGTTGAATTGGAATCCTCATAAAGAAGGCCGCCTGATGACCGGATCTGAAGATTCTACCGTTCGGCTTTGGTACAATCTCTCCCATGCTTTCGTACACCTGGGACTTTGGAGCTAACTTTTACCCAGGGACCTCAACTCTTATACCAAGACTAATACAACCCTACATCCTATCCACACTTATACCCACCATTCAGCTATCGTCAATGATGTCGCCTACCACCCTTGCCATGATGCTCTTTTCGGTTCCGTATCGGATGACCACACCCTTCAAATCGTGGATACCCGTTCCTCGGATACCACGACTGCCGTGCATAAAGTTGTGGCCCATGCGGATGCCGTCAATTCGATCGCCTTCAATGCGGCTTCTGACTATGTTGTCGCAACGGCATCTGCAGACAAGACCGTTGCCCTATGGGACTTGCGCAATCTCAAGTTGAAGTTACATTCTCTCCAGGGCCATAATGCGGAGGTCAACGGACTGAGCTGGCACCCACATGAAGAGCCCATTCTTGCCAGTTCGAGCGCTGATAGAAGGATCATCTTCTGGGATTTGGCCAGAATTGGTGAGGAGCAATCTCCGGAGGATGCCGAGGATGGACCACCTGAGCTGTAAGTTCACATATCCCCCTCCCCAATATTTCAATGTTCAATTCTTGGCTAATCCCAGCTAGGTTGTTTATGCACGGTGGACATACCAACAGAGTTTCAGACTTTGCCTGGAATCCGAACGATCCATGGGTGATGGTAAGTGCTGCTGAAGATAATTTGATTCAGTGTTGGAAAGTCTCTAGCGCCATTGTCGGCAAAGATATGGAGGATGTCCCTGTTGGGGAGTTAGAAACGTAAACTTGATAGGCAAAATTCTGCCGCTAGTAGTAGCTTGCATGTTCAATAGTTTTACCCATTCATTTCAAAGCTCTTTTTGAGCTAACCCTTCCTTTTCCATTTTTTTCCATTTTTTTCACATTTTTTTTTCCCCCCTCCCCCCTATATTAAGTTTCTAGTCAAGCCATGGAGAGTGCAATTGTATAACAGTTTTTTCCCTCCATCCTCCTCGATTGCGATGGATAGGCATCTTTCGTAACTGCTACATGTTACAAGTACAGTAAGTGATGTGCATGCACAATCAAGCATTCAAAAACAGAGATCCACTTACTACTCGAGTAGAGTAAAGCCGACAGGCACAGTGTCGGTACCGTACCCGGTAGGGGATCCATGCGCGTACAGGTACAATGCGGTACAGTATCATGCTTGCACACTTCCGTACTAGTAAACTCAGGAAATGGTGGGGTCATATTGTCCTCAATTATACGGCATCGTAGAGCAGTATTTTAAAAAATAAATAGAATAAAATAAAATCAAGTATGATACTGTGCTGAAGGGGGTGGGAACTGATATTCAGGGTTGGGGCCGAGATATTTTTAAGAGTCCGAAAAGACTCACATTGGTATCTGATTTCATACTCGAGTATACCGGTACCGACATTACCCGCACAAAACAGTTTCAGGCACCCATATTCTACTCGTACGAGCACTTGACAGGTCAGCGCTGAGAAATGGCCTCGCTGTGATTGGCTGAGGATGATGTTATTGTAGTGAGGAGGAGCTTAACTATTTGGTCCGTTTCGGTAAAGCTCTCGTAGCTACTTTAACCCATGATACCGTATTAATACCCTGTTATTGTACCTAGAGCTTGCGGGGGTTATGCGGTACCGCACCTATCCGACCCTACAGCTCGCTGACCTGGCTTTGGCTTTAAAATGTTAACGTGAGAGGCTGCCTTTGAGATTTCCTAGTTTACGCACCTTTGTCCCGGCCTTACTCGTCATTCTCTCGCTCCCCTTCTCTTACTCTCTTTGTGTGTACTACTTTTCTTCCTCCTTTCCTCCCTCCCTCCCTTCCTTCCTTCCTTCCTTCCTTCCTTTCCCCTTCTTCCCTCTCTCCCTCCCTCTTCTCGACAAGCCCCCTCCGCAGCCTTATCATAACCCCCTACCCACAACCACCATCCAACAAACCTTCCGCCAACCAAACTACCTCAACCCTAAAACCCAAATCTACAGAAACTCAACAATGTCTCCCCTTTTTATCCGCAACTTCTCCCATCGCGCAAGCAGAATCTATAGATCCCCTCGCACCATTATGATGTACTCCTATCTTGTTGTATGTACTCACACCTCTTCCCCCATATTTCATAACTGACGGTAAAATAACAGGCGGGCTTCTCCCTCCCTTTCGCCCTCCCCGTCGCCAAAAAACTCTCCGCACAGAACAACAAGTCTGTTCCCCGCAATAGGTTTTCTACTTTACGGCCCTTCTTTACTTTACATCTGCACAAGGGAAATGGCTAACTAGCTTTCGCGGTTGTCGTAGCGGTGGTGGTGATATCTCTCTCTACCATTGCTGCCGTTGAGCTCCGGAAATTGAGTGGAGAATGAATGGGCAGAATATTATATGACGGAGGCGCAACGCATGCATTTTCGGACAGAGGAGTTTGGGATTTTTTTTTTTTACATGATGTTTCTTTTGCCTTTACCTTTACATTTCTGAACACCACGGAGGGGAGGTTTGGTACCGGTATTCAAATTACAGACGCGCGAACGATAGATTTGTAGCCGAGACTCGGCAATACTAATATAGTCGACCATTCACTCTATATCTTAACATACTTTCCACTACCGGTATACCCTACTACACGTACTGTACTCGGGTACAGTATGATGGAGCCTTATCAGCAGCACCTTGTTCACTATAGCGCCCTCCTTTCCCGCAACAGTGCTACTTCCCAAAAACAATAGCCTTCCCTCCTTCCTTCCCTTATTCCTATCCACTATCCCATCCACAACTTATCCTCGCCTATCTCATCCATCATTCCGTACTCGTACAAGCTTCTTGCCGTCTCCCAATCAATCCAACCGTGCCCCAAGGCTCAACCGTAGCATCCAACCATCCTTTAACCACGTGAGCGGTTACAATAGATACCGGTATGTCAGTAGCGGCTTGGCAACGCAAACCAGATTGTATGGCGCTCGTAAATAGGACTTAAGTGAGGAAGGCGTATCCGGTTTGTCCTTGACAAAACAGAAAGTAAAGCGTGGATTTTCCCTGGACCCCAGAGCACAAATACTCGTACAACCTTCCTCAAATACAAACAACCGCAGTGCCCATTGCGAGCGAGGGTATCATAGCTCAAAGATACGACATCTCCTTCCAAAATTGGAGGTGATTGGGGGCGGTCAGGAGGGAGGGGTACAGTACTCGTACAGCACTCGGATTTTGGGCCGCAATAGTTGGCACGGGAAAGGGCTGCGCTATTACCAGATTGGTGCATATATGCGCATCTATATGAGTATTGCATCATACCCGTACCAAGAAACAATTCTCACATCACAAGGATCTTGATCCGATTAAAAACGAGATATTATATCTCCAAAAAAGCTAATGACTACAGTACCGCAAGGCGTGATCTGATTCATGTAATATAAAGATTTTAAATCCTTTACGGTATTAAAGTTACATTCCAGGTCGGACTCCCCGTTCAAGTCGAGTATATTGAAACTTGCTCAGGCGGTTCGTGTATCCTGTACTTCGTATAGTATAGTACAGTACTCCCTTCCCAACCCGGAAACTCACACCGCCGGATCATTGGCACCCGTAAACAGCCCGATCGCGCAGCACTGCTACGATAGCGCAATAGCGTTTCGTAGCAGCGTGAGGACCAGAACGATAGAACACCGTCTAGAACGTTCAAAACAACAAAAACCCCTTCCTTTCTTCCTCCTTTGGGAATCTAACAACAAACTTTGAAGTCCTGCATTGACCGATACAAAAGAAATAAGTATATACAACATACCACTCGCGAGGCCTGATATTCCAATCCTCGCCGGTGACTAATAAGTAATCAGTTGTGCACAGGTACCTGTAAGAGATCCCCGGGCTTCGGACAGCAAAGGAGGGGGGGAGGGGGTAGACTAGTATTTCATTCAGGTCCATGGGGAACGACTTGGCTTCTCACCCGTTTTGTACGATAACGGAAGTATATAACGCGATACTCGCAATCGCACAACATGTTAATATATATCCCCCCAGATTTTGAAATCCTGTGCATTTAGAAGAAGAAAAAAAAAAAAACCTGTCTTGGTCTAATTCCCGAGAGGAGGATAATTCATTGTACCGATAGAGGAGAAGAAAAGAAAAGAAGAAAATACTACCCTTCATTACCTCGGAGAGTCGTTCTACACAACCTCTAGGCTACAATGGCAAACGCAACATGGAGAAATCTCCCCCCCCCCCTCTAATCGGCTTTCTTCTCACCAAGATGTACAATTGTATTCAATCATGTATTATCACTCGATTAACGTTGATGGATTAATACTCCTGTTTTTGTCAGTTATGTGAGTGAGCGAGTGGGATACGCACGAAGAGGATCTCGGGCCCTTGATTTCAAATTCTAGATATTAGGGCGGGGAGGGGTGGGAGGTCACTCGCATACACTCATACTCCTCCTCATGGGACGGACGGATATCGCCCACTGAACCTGGTATTGTGTCGTAGATTGCTCGCTGTGATCTCGGCTCTTCCCCCCCCCACCCCTGGGTGTGTGTGTTGGTTCTGGTCTTGATGGCGAACTGTGGACTTGGACTTGCATGTTTTTTTTTCAAACAAGGACCGTGATGAGTACGGTGTGATACTGATATACTGTATCATAATATTATCATATCGTAGGTTTTTGTGGGTCGTATGATAGTTAATGTGCTCTCGTTTCGGTATCTTTAAATTTCCATCATCTACCTATATCTATCTACCTACTGCACTATTACAGCTTATCAAATGAGACATTTAAGGTATACATCCCTTGTTTCCCCCTCTCAAATCTATTACAGCTAGACTACCTACCGTACCGTAAGCGGCCGGGCAAGATGGAAGAAGAAGAAAGAGGGAATGAGAAGAAAGGCCCTCCCCGGATCTCCGTATTTCCGGTAGCGTTGTTGTTGCCGGGTGGAGGGAGGGAGGGAGGCCCCACCGCCCCACCCACCCACCAGCGCAGCTATAATACAAAAAGTGGCAAATCGCTTCCAACCTCCTGAGCCCCCGCTGGAACATACGGTATCGCACGATTGTAGAATAGCTACAGCCCGAGGGACGGGATATGTAAATTATGAGTCGCGCAGTGTTTTTCCGGTCTGAGCAGGGGTAAGTTTGGGAGGGATGGGGGGAGCTTCAGATGTACTCGAGTACTCGAGTAAAGGAGGGGATGTACGATATCTCAAATTGAGGTGGGCTTTTTTCTTCTGCGTAGCATAAGCTAGTTGCTAGTGGTGTGTCGATACTTGTAGGTTGGAGCTAGCGGGTATTATCATGGCCGGCTGCACACATGGGGTGTGGCTGGTCTCCAATTCTGACTTGGCAGCTTGGGGGATGTCTGTTTGAAGTGCTGCGGGGTGTTGGCTGCGGAGATACATTGGTGGTCGTCGGAGTCGTTGATTTACCATGACGTGCGCACCGCACCACCGTTAGTCCAAGTGCGGTCTATGAGGCGTCCTCCTAGACGCCCGAGTAGTCTATGGCGGCAACGGATGCGGTGGGGGCGCAAGGTACCGGTACATGCCGGTACTATCATACGCGAATACCGTACCGGCACTCGATCACAGGAATCTTGGGAGTGCTCGCAGTAATACCGGTATCGGTACAACATGAGGCTATTCCCCCATCTCGAACAAAGCACCCCTCGGGGAAATTTCGCACCCCCCAATCCAAACTCGCCTACCCCCGCACCCCTCTAACCAATAATCCATTCTACGTTTGGTACGCGGTTCATCATCGTCCCCCCATCTCCGCAAACAGTCACTCGCTCCCCCCGCTCCCGCCCCCCCCCCTACCGATTACCGCACCCCACAGCCGACATGACGTAACAAACCATGCATAAGCATCGCATCACCCCACAGCACCCTTACTCCTCCACCCTAGATCGCTCCGATAACTGGAAGATGGAGAAAATCGCCCAGGCGTGGACCCGATGGCCACACTCCAAGACGCTCGGGTCCGGTTTATCCCACGCGAGCGAGCGAGCACGGTTTTGATCCGAATGTTTATTTCTGTGACTTCTTTTTTTCTTTGCTTTTTTTCTTTTTTTCTCTCCCACATTTCTGTCATCTCGCGTTTTGGCGCCGGTTTGACTTGCCATATCAGATCACCATATTACACGGTAGGGTAATCCGGTTGTTGGAGGAAGTTGCGCTTGCGTGTTGGTGTTCTGGTTCTAGAGATAGGGTTAGGTTAGAAGCGTGAGACAGCAAAGACCGGATCGGGAAGGAGGGTTTCGGAAAACTCCTTGCCGCCCGCGGTCCCCACGGTTGATTTGTCGGGTAATGCCTTATTTACGAGTATGATATTAATATCCTTGTAGCACCGAGCCGGGGAGGAGACAGACCGCTTTGGCCTATGCAGTGGTGAGCACGACCCAACGCCAACGTGCAAGCATTGGGCTATGGCATAAAGTATGGTGGCTTTTCTTTTTTTCTGAATTGTTCCTCTAGAGGATGATTTTCAAGAGGCGAGCAGAAAAAAAATAGATTGGGGAGGAAGTTTGCGAGATGGGGTGTTCGTATACTCGAGCACGCTTCATTCTTGAACTATGGGAAAAAAGCCTGACTGCGGGGACGAACAGCATGAGCACCGTAAGGTACTCGAGTACCGGTATGGGAGCGTTCCTCGATCGAAGCTGGGTGTGGTCAGATAGCCGATGCATCGGTGTCCGGTCGGGATGTGATAGGTGTCTCAAATGAGGTATTGGGTACAGTACAACGATGGAAATGGAATGGTGGATGGTTCAAGTTGGGTATTTTATTTTTTTCCATCTATCCTTCTTATTTCGCCTTTACACCACCCGAGTGAAGATTGACCAGCAGCAAGCGCATTCCCGCAACGTTAAAAACCACCGTATCATATGGCGGGCAATCTGATATCTCAATCATGGCGCCTGCGATTGAGTCGATTGGGTCCACTTTTTTGTCGATCACACTTGGAGGGGATTGGAGGCGGAAAGGGAGAAAAAAAAAGGGTTCGCTTAATGCGGGTGACCCATTCGCCATACGCGCAACGGAGATGATTGAAGGAATACCTACAGGTACGGAAACTCCCCGCCTCGATGTTTGCTGCACCGCGGTAGCTACGGCATTAACCAGGTTATATTGACAGGTGGCTCAGGTAGCTAAGGCCACGGTAGTCTACAGGAATTTGTTGTTGTGAAGGGGCTGTGTTTGAGGGAGAAGGTGAAGTGAGGTTGAAATAAGGGATTTGAGCAGCGAAGTTGGGATGGAGACCTGACGTCGGTAATATCTTGATTCGTGTTGCTGGCTCTCACCCATTCCCTCCCTCCCTCCCTTCCATTCCCTTGCGCCTCGCTGCGTTGCGTTGCGTTGCGCTGGACTGGGCTTGATGACGGGATGTGTGGTTGTGGTGGGATGGATGGATGGATGTCTCAGATCGCCGGAGCTCCCTGCACGCATGTAAAAAACCGAAGGAAAAATTCATGATGATGGTCCATTTCCGCCCTCTGGGAGGTGGTGGTTGCCAGAATGGGTAAGTTAAAGGGGGGCGGGGCAACTGCGAGGAACAGGCCGGTAACAGTACTCGAGCGCGGGACGAGCATACTTGTATAGTACTTGTAAGTTAATACCGGTACCGGTACCGTATACTTTACCGTCCAGTACTTTCATTGTGCTTTCGACAGGGTGGTAAAAGATGTATGATGGAATGATGGATGGATGGATGAGCTCACCTTGGGGTGAAAGATTGTTTGCAGATTCCGCCCCTCCCCTCCCCCTTCCACCCCCTTTTTTTTTTCTTTTCTCTTCCCCTTCTTCCCCTTCTTTCCTCCTTTTTCATCTGTTGACTGAATTCGCCGGTTTGATGATGCCGGTACCGTTTTCTCATCATTTGCAGATCTGTTTTGCTTCCTGCTGTTTTATCCGTCCTTTTGTATGATATGTGCGAGGGAATTCGCTTTCCCTCCAAAGCCTTGCACTTGTAGACTACCGCCCGCTTACCCACTCGCCCTTTCGTTCCTCCGGCCAGAGCTGGAAGAGATAAAGGAAACGACAGGTCGTAGAAGTATCGTGCCGGCCGGGTTTGAAATATGCAAAAAATTGGGTTTGAATTGAGCTCCTCTCCCCACTAGGCCGGCTGGGTAGGGCACAAAAGGGAAAACATCTAGCCGCATTGGGATGGTTGGCTGGCGACCGAAGACGTCTTGCCGACCGAATCGAGACGTCCGCTGGTCATTTGACGCTTTCGAGAGAAGAGAGATTCCCTCTTCACTCGCAAACGACCATGATAGCGCAGTGTGGGGAGAGAGGAGAGGGTTTGCCGGCTTGGGATTTCAAAGATAGTAAAACTCTACAACGATTTTCGCCAACGGAGTGTATATTTATCACATAATATTATATAATATATGTGTGTATATATACATATATACACATAGTTCTCTTTTTTGACCTGGAGAGAAGGGCAATTACCGTATCCCTTTGTCCGTATCTGTCGCCTTTTGGCTCCCTGGAACACTCCGGGACCAGGAATAGTTCGAGAGTGGCAAACATGTAGACGTTTCCTACAGGTCAGGTCGCAGCAAAAGCCCCCCCGCCATATGATACTGCTAGCTATCTTCAGCTAACTTAAGGTTGGGGCATTAACTGCACTGAGAAGCTGTGATATGTATGTACGTGAGGACTGAGGGATTCTCTCTCCCCCAGTTCGTCTGTATCGCTCTTAACCGAGATCGTAATCAGCTCCCCCGTAATTATGTCTTTCAGCTAAATTATCTACAGTATCTGCGAGCACCGGCAACCTTGTAGTGTTGTTTTATTTTTGTTACAATTTTTTTAATCAGGGCTGGCAAACCGTTGCCTTCCTCTGGAAGATTGAAGGTGACGGGATGCTATGATATGTTGTCCCTATAAGGTGTGGGAGCGATCCTCCCATACCATATCGGTAGAATAGAGATGGAGGGGGAGAGGGTGGGGAGGCTGAGAGAAAAACCTACCAGCGTTCCCTACCAAGGTAAAACGCGACATACCGGTACTGTGTCTATGCGGTCAGTCAAGCCAGGTCAGGTTAGTAGAGTCTGTGTGGGCTACAACTAGCTGCGAGTATTACCGGTACTGTAGGTGCTACCAATCTGCTCGCTTTTTTTTCTTCTTTCCCCCTCTCTCCCTTTTCCCTTTCCCCTCTCCCTCTTCTTTGCCTCTGTATGATTTCCCTTTTCCCCTTTCTTTTTTTGTGTGCGTCGTTGATCAGGCTTTGTGTTTCCCTCGTGCTCTATTTTCATTTGTATCATCATCATTGTTCGTTCGTTCATTCATTCATTCACCCATCCATCCATCCATCCACCCACTGCGCAGATAGTGCGCTGGACCTTGATTGCTGGCCTGTATGTGTGTGAAAAGTTTTCCATCTTTCCTTCCCTCTCATTTTATCAATCACCATCCATCCTTCAGGTACGCCTTGGCTTGACGTTTGCAATCCTTTGCAAGTTTCTGCCGTGTGTTCCTGGCTGTGTCTGTTTTCTCGGCGCTGCCAGTGAGGTGAGGGTTGAGGAAACTGGAAGGGAAGTCATCAGAGGGGTGAGAGGGTTTGGGGGGGGACAAAGGGAGTGAAGTGTGTGAGAGTGCACAGGAACGGACAGGGAAGCAGCGACATCGGATAGTGCAGCCCGCGCGCCATATCTCACTCAAGTAATACTTCTCGCTCACTCACATACTTGCTTCCAACTCTCTCACTGCTCCATAACTTCCAAATCGGCAGGGTTTACCTTTCTGTAAAAAGTACTCGTGCTGTAGTCTTCGTACCGCACCGTAGTCTATATCGCCTCTCCCAATTCCCTTTTCACTCGTTCGTTGCCTTCACCACGAATCCCTACGTGCACTTACATATTTCTGGCAGTATAACCACCTGGTCAATACTGCAACTGCTCGTTCGGTACATCCCATTCCTTCTCGGTCCTCCCTCTCCATCCCTCGCTTCTTGCTCCCTCGCTCTGTCTCCACCCTACTAATAGCACTTCGACCACTGCCCGCCTGCCCGTCGTCCGCTGCGGTTGTTTTCTATCCTACGGCACATAATACTGGTGGGATAGCCTTCTCTCCTTTTCCTTCTCTCCTACAATTTCTCACCGCACTGTGCCCTCCATTTCCCTTACCTCTTTCTTCATCCCCCACACTTGTCTCGTAGAGAATCCGTTCCCTCCCCCCCTCCCATTGCAAGAACGGCGGCCGCTGTCAACCTGCCTGGTCCGATCCGATATATCTGATCTTCGCATTCGCACGTTCTCAATCACACACGCAACCATTCACTCGCTCCCACTTTCACGCTTTCCCTCTCGCTTTCCCCCTCCCCCCCTTCCCTTGCCCTCCTCCCTCACACCCACATACACCCACACACACACGACAGCAGCCACACATATGATCCGTGGACGGATAACCCTCCCTTAGTATTTTCTTCTCTTCCCATTCCCCCCTTCCCACAACCACCGCCACCACCACCACCCTACGCTACTACCACCGTCTCACCCCTTCAACTCTTCTTCCATTCCCCACTCACACTAGCTGCCACCACTCATTATCAACTGCTAACGTGGTGTTGTAGAGAGGAAATTGATAAAAAGTGGTCAAAGGATTTTGACTGATTTCCTGGGAGCACTGGAATGTGGACTGGCGGGAGCCACTGCGACATATCACACCTACGGTAATTTACAGCTCCTGACGTCTATCAGAACGAGTCTTTCGGTCCGACTACAGCATCCCAACGTACTCGTCATAGTCGAGACTTGCAATTATACCTAAACAACCTTTTTAGTCGACTTTGTGCAAAATGCCAGCTGCTGCCTCGTCAGCGTCTTCGGCGGCCGCGTCCTCTGCCAGGCCGTCCCCTCGCGCTCCATCGACAAGAATCAAAGGAGGTGGGGGACACGGGGGAGGAGGTGGTGCCCCTAGTAATCTTCCAGGCCCTGGTGGATATCAATCCGCTCCTTTGAGCTCTCGGAAGGCACAACCTTTGGATATGTTGACTGTAGAGAGGAGGAGTTCATCATCAAAGGAGAACCCCAAGAGGATAAGGCCCCATGGACTTCAGGAAGCTCCAACCTACAGACCTACAGCGGAGCAGTTCAAGGACCCTTTCGAGTACATAAAAAGTATTGCAGAGGAAGGGAAGAAGTACGGAATTATAAAGATCATTCCTCCGGACACCTGGAATCCGGAATTCGCGGTTGATACCGAGGTTTGTTGGGCCTCTCGTTCACTAGTTGATGTTGTGGGCATTTTTACAGTAGACCATCCCCCCTTCGCTACTGCGCTTAGGATGGAGGATCTCTCACCCCCCTCTTTCTCTTTTTCTGCTCGCCACCCCGTACAATTATTTGTTCTTTCAATTCATTGGATGACAGGGGATGGATTTGCTGACATTTTATGTGTAGCGGTTCCACTTTCGAACAAGACGGCAGGAGCTCAACTCCGTTGAAGGAGGTAATTGCGACCCTCAAACCCCAAGCAATTATTTCGGCTATATAGACAGTCACCATTACCTTTTCTCTCTCTCTCTCTCTCTCTCTTTTTCCCCCTTCCCTCAACATGATCGCTAACAATATCCTAATTTCTAGGCACTAGGGCAAATTTAAATTATTTAGACCAGTTGTCCAAATACCACAAGCAACATGGTACGAATTTGAACCGATTCCCGTCGGTCGATAAACGCCCATTAGATCTCTATCGGTTGAAGAAGGCCGTAGAAATTAGGGGCGGATTCACTAATGTTTGCAAGCACAAGAAATGGGCCGAGATTGGTAGAGATCTGGGGTATTCGGGAAAGATTATGTCTAGTTTATCTACCTCACTCAAGAACTCATATCAGCGCTACCTACATCCATACGAAGAATGGGTCAAGTCTGCGAAGCCTGGTGTGCAGCAACAGATTGAAGCAGAGCAGGGAGGTCCCATAACACCTTCTGGATCCCCTTTGAAAAAGCTGCCTGCAGATAAACCGGCGATGTCTCCGCTGAGTAGTCTACCCGATTCGCCAGCAATAAGAGCCTCCGCCGCGCTCAACGCCTCAGTAGTGGGGACTCCGGAAAGATCTGATACAGACATGGCTGATGCAACTCCAATTCGCGGATCTACGCCTGCAGTGAATGGTGGCTTTACAGCTGTAAACACGGGGAGTGGATTCACACCAGTCAATTCTGGAGCTGGTGGATTTGCCATAGTGAACGTGTCCAATGGTATGAAGAGAGAACTGGATGCCAATATGACCCCGAATACTGGTAATTCACGGAGAAGTGAGAATGGAGCTACGCCCAGTAAGAGGAGTACTCCTGAGCTGAAGGCTGGTACAATCCTCAAGCGGGGTCACAGCCAAGAGAATGGCTCAGGAGCTGATATTAAAGAGCAGTCCAAAGAGGCCACTGCTGATGAGTCGGAAAATGGTGAACGAAGAAGCAAGAGACTTAAGAAGGGTATGTTGTGTAAATTTTCGTTTGACCTATCCTTTCTCATTCTTTTTTTTTTTTTTTTCTTTTCTTCAAAAATAGGTGTGGTTGCACTTAACCGAGATCGTTGGCTGATCGTCTTCTAGAACCTGCACCTATGGTTGCTGGGTCGCACATGACTTTGCACAGGCCTTCTTCGACACCGAGGACTTTGGGCGGGGACCGAAACAATAGTAAACCGGGAGAGGTATTTTCATTCGTTCGATATGTTTCGTTCATATATTCTAATCATACATCCTGCAGAAATGTGAAAAATGTGGTCGTGGTGATGATATGGCCAATTTATTACTCTGTGAGAGCTGCGACCACGGTTACCACACATTTTGTCTCGAGCCAGTGCTCAAGAGTGTACCCGACCGGGATTGGTATTGTGATAGATGCCTTGTTGGAACCGGCGACTATGGGTTTGCCGATGGTGAAATTTACTCTCTGAGGCAATTTCAGGAAAAAGCCAACAATTTTAAAGATTTGTATTTTCAATCGAAAATGCCCTTTGACCCAGTCTTGAATAAAGCACGACAGGTCACTGAGGATGATGTTGAGAGGGAATTTTGGAAATTGGTGGAGAGCGTTCACGAGACTGTGGAGGTGGAGTATGGTGCTGATATCCATTCAACCACTCATGGAAGCGGCTTTCCGACCATCGAGAAACAGCCGACATACCCTTACGCAACGGACCCTTGGAATCTCAACAACCTGCCCCTGCATCCTGAATCTTTGTTTCGCCACATTAAATCTGATGTTTCTGGGATGACCGTGCCGTGGCTCTACGTCGGCATGTGTTTTTCGACGTTCTGCTGGCATAACGAGGACCATTACACCTACTCCGCCAATTATCAGCATTTTGGTGCTACGAAAACGTGGTATGGTATTCCTGGGAGCGATGCAATGAAATTTGAGGATGCTATGAGGGAAGCCGTACCGGAATTGTTTGAGCAACAGCCCGATCTGTTATTCCAGTTAGTAACCTTACTAACCCCGCAGCACCTTATGAAGGCCGGGGTCAAAGTTTATGCATTGGATCAGAGGGCGGGGCAATTTGTGGTTACATTCCCGCAGGCCTATCATGCAGGGTTCAATCATGGCGTGAGTTTTCCTTGCCAAGTGGCTGATATTTGCATATTCTGATTTGGACTGACCTGATTGGGTATAGTTCAATTTTAATGAAGCGGTTAATTTTGCTCCCTCGGATTGGGAGCCGTTTGGGCAGGCTGGGGTCGAAAGATATCTGGAGTTCCGGAAGGCTCCTGTTTTCTCGCACGATGAACTACTTCTCACTGCCGCGGCCAGAGATACTACCATCAAGACTTCACAATGGTAGATTGATTGATTCGTTGTTCCTTGTTCGGGTTGGGGTTTTTAGCTGACATTTTTGTAGGCTTGCTCCCGCACTTGCGCGTGTGCGAGACAGGGAACTTCAGGCACGTCGTGGATTGCTTGAGCACTTGCCTGATATCAAACAAGCGACACTCCCCGAAGATGAGGAGCTGAGCGAAGACCAATATCAGTGTGGGGTTTGTAAGGTTTACTGCTATCTCTCGCAGATCACTTGCCCCTGTACTCCTAATGTTACGTGTCCATCACATTTCCGTGACATCTGCGACTGTGAGGATACAAGGCTTACTCTACGACTTCGGATGACGGATGAGAGTCTCGAGGAATTGGTTCAGAGGGTACACGACAAGGCAAATATGCCGAAGTCATGGGCAGTCAAGCTCGAAAAATCCATTGCGGAAAGTCCACGGCCGGCGCTTAAAGTACTAAAGTCCCTTCTATCTGAGGGTGAACGGATTCCATGTTACATTCCTGAGCTGGCACCGCTTAAGGCTTTTGTGGAACGTGCCCAGGAGTGGGTCGATGAAGCGACACCTTTCATATCTCGCAAGCAACAAAACCGGAGAAAGAATGAAAAGGCATGGAGGAGGATGGGCTCAAAGGTCGCTGAGATGGAGGAAAAGGAGCGAGAACACAGGAAGCTTGATAGTATCCTTAAACTCCTGGAGAGAGCTGAGGATATCGGATTCGAATGCACTGAGATTGAGCAATTACGCGAACGTGCCGACCTTATCCGGGCTTTTCAGCTACGTGCGAGGAAAGCCCTGGCGACCCCCGGAACCTTATCTACGCCAATGTATGAGGAATTGGTGGAAACTGGAAAGAGCTTCAATGTGGACCTTGCTGAGACCGATTTGCTGGAGAAGATTGTGCGACAGTTAAAGTGGGCTGACTCTGCTAGAGATGCTAGGGCAAGGTTTTTGTCCCTCACCGAGGTGGCGGAACTGATCAAGTCAGGTCAGGAATTAGGGATCCCCGATACCAACGAGCAAATGATGCACTTCCGAAGCCAAAAAGAGGCTGGCGATATGTGGGAAAAAAAAGCGAAGGAGTTGATGAGCGTTGAGATTGTACATTTCCAGCAGTTGGAGGCACTTTCTGGCCAGGCATCTACGTTACCTGTTTCTCGCGAGACGCTCGCACAGGTCGACCAAATTCTGAACAAGCAACGGGAGGCTCATCGCCAGATTGTGGCATTGTATGAAAAGAGCAAGGAAGCGGATTTTTACAAGAGGCCGAAGTATAAAGAGGTTCGGGATGTGCTGGATGGACTAACAGAGCTACACAGCAAACCGACAGGGACAATTGACCTGGAAAAAGAGCAGAAGCGTCACGAGGATTGGATGAGGCGGGGGAAGAAACTGTTTGGGAAGGCTAATGCGCCCTTGCATATTCTTGCGCAGCATATGGCGTATGTGGAAGGTCGTAATAAGCATTGTTTTTGCTTGGAGGATAGACCGCGAACCCCGGTCGAGCCATCCAGCAGGGAGCCGAGTCCGGATTCCAAGAGTAATGGACCGTTTGGTGAAGGGTCGAGGGGTGGTAGGCCGAGGGAGGTTTTCTGCATATGCAGACAGCCAGAGGCTGGGATGATGATCGAATGTGAGGTTTGTCATGAATGGTAAGGTTTTCATTCTGATTGAAATGGTTTTGGTTTACTGACTTTGATTAGGTACCACGGCAAGTGCCTCAAGATCGCCAGGGGCAAGGTCAAGGAAGATGAGAAGTATACTTGTCCGATCTGCGATTACCGAGTCAAGATACCACGTGACGCGGCCCGACCAAAGCTTGAGGAGCTTATTGATTGGCAAGCAGAGATTGAAAACCTTCCCTTCATTCCTGATGAGTTGGATTGTCTTCACCGGATCATCGATGCGGCGACCAAATTTCGGGAGTGGGTTCGTCCGTTTACAACTGCGATTGGTCTTACGGGTGCGGAGGTGCCGACTATGAGGTTCTATCTCCGAAAGATTGAAGGTGCCGAAATCCTTCTCTCACAAGAAACCAACTTCTTCCGAACGGAGCTGCACAGATGGATGCCCATCGCCCCTGACCCGCCTCCAGTTGTTGAAGTCTCCATGTCAACCCGCAAGCCCCGCCCAACGAAGCAGCAAAAGCTGATGGCGCAGATGGGCATCACGAACCCGGATGATCTTCCCCCTCAACTCCGAACAAAGGCACACTCCTTTTCCAAGAAGAAGCCCGTAGAAGCCAATGGCAAACCCCCGCCACCAATCAAGCCCGCCCCATCAAAAGGCTCAATGACCTCCTCCCCAGTAACCCCAACCAGCCAAACTCACCCCCTTCTCGGTCAATCTTCCTCATCCTCCTCTCAACCCCCTCCGTCCCAACCGCAATTCGACTATCCCCGCTTCGGTAGTGCTGGCCCATCGGCACAGTCGCCAACTTTCACTCTTGCTCATTCCTCAAACTCTAGCTCTGGAAACGGCGCCTCGTCATCTTCCTCCCAACACCAACGCTTGGGATCCCCAGTTCTCTTGAACAACCCCGGCCGCGGCCCAACCCTCGATCCAGCGCTCTTCAACCCGCAGGCCTTCCCCGGTGATCATAGTGGACACGGCCACAGGGGGGTTGGAGGTGGACCCGGAAGTCCGCAGTATAGCAGCGCCAAGGCAATGTTTGACGCGCTGACTGAAGACCCGGATCTTTACTCGAAAGAGGAGACCAGTGGTGGGGTTAGTTATGAGGCGCTGGCGGCAGAGGCGCTGAATACGGCTGGAGAGGCATTGGATGAAAAGTTGGCCGATCAATTCTTGGCGCCTTAGTCAGCGCACATTGGTCCTCCTTCATCCGGTATTATCAGTTTCGAGGATGGATGGATATTGTCCAGTTTCTGTTTGTTTGTTTTTCTTGTCCGCTTGCTTATTGTAGGTTGGATTGTGGTTTTTTCCGTTCATTTTTTTTTTTTTTTTCCAACTCCTTCACTTTCTTGTACTTTAGGGTTTTTCATCTCAACACCTTCGATGACTTTTCTTTTTTTCTTTTTTCGGCAATTATCATATCATACTTCAAATGGTTAATGGTGTTTAGTTTTTTCTTCACTTTTTCATTTCTTTTCATCAAATTTTTATATTTTTTCTCTTCTCATTAGTATCAGTGGGTTGCTTGCTTGATTGAAAATTTCTTTTTTATAGTTTACGTTCTGTTCTTACTGTTGGTATAGGTGATGGTGGTATGGAACCGTAGTATAGCCCAAATAAAGTATAGCCTGTTCGGATAGCATCTATGGTCGCTTGTTTGTTGTGCACTGGAGATTGTTCGCGGTTGTTTATGTCTTGGGGTTTTCTGTGTAAGAATTCAATCTGATCTAATTCAGTTCAATTATGACTAGTCGCCGCGAATGTTGGTATCCTGTGGTGATTGTTGAAATTCAAGGCCTTGATTTTATTTCCCGTCTGTCTAGAGCTGGAGCAAAATAAGGTATTGAACACGCCTCTTTCTAATACAAACTAAAACTTGAATTATTCAGAGAACCTAGGTGACAGTGTCAAGTGCCTCCTATGATTGGACACCCACGAATCTGCAAATCATAGGAGAGAAGAAACACGAAGGGAAACATCATCTACCATTTTCGCGCCTCCAACCCCAAATATTTAAAGGAGGATACAACTGAATGCGAACCCTTGTATAAAAGAACACCCCCCTTAATCAACCTCTGGCAATAAATCTGTTCAAACTAGCCAGAGTGATGGGCTTTTCTGCCAAATCAGCAAATAGAGAAGAATCCGCAAAGATCGCGGTCCTATTGAAGAGCAATATCATTGATATCCAATCGATAACGTCCTTCTCATCAAATTTGGGGAAAACCTGACTCCAGATAATCACGCCCTGACCTTCAAGACAACTGAAGTCATAACGTTGGTTCTCTAGACCTGGTTCGCCGTGGTAAGTATAGCCCGATGCCTCTAGGGAGTTCATGAGCTGCGCAACGTCTTCGATTGAAGATGCCCTATCTATGGCTTGAATATGCTTCGCATTGGAGGGGACCCTCTCGGTGGGATCGGGGCAGCATTTGTAGTGACCCGGATTGGGGCCGAGCCCTATGCCATTGAGCAGCCCTCCAAATAAAACAATGGCCTTAGATATCGTCTTGATTTCCCTGAGTTCGTAGCCTGAGACTGCTTCCATCCCGACATGAATATTTATCTTGATAGTTTCATTAAAGTCGTATCTGAAGCACGCAAGCTGCTTCAGTACCTTTTGTAAGATCCCTTTGACCCAAGACGTGCTGGATCTAGACAAATTATTTTCCGATTGGCGTCCTGTAGCATGATTTAGGATTTTTCCATTCGTGTCAATTGGACCAAGAGCAGAGAAACTCGGTATGTATTCTGTATCGTTTTCGGAAAATAACCCCACCGCCTCGGTGGACACCTTCAGGCTATTGCAAAAGTCGCGGTGCAGTCGCGAATGTGTGCCATAGTTTGCCGATACCTCTAACTCCGCTCCGATCCGAAAGATTTGGTTCTCCTAATTTGTGTTAGTATGTGGCGCTGGATTGGGATGTTATTGGGGGAAAACTCACTATTCTATCCATCAAGGGGTAGCCCGAGCTCCCGCCCGCATTAAGTTCGATATTCTTGAAGCTTAAAAGGCCGCTGTCAGGATTTGGGGCTCTATGATTTTTCGCACTTGCCTGTTGGCCTGCAAGAAAAACAATGTTCAACCATTCCTTAAACTCCTGCCCCCATAAGAGGACCAAAATACCATTACCCCCCGGACCTTGTTGATCTTCCGCTGCCCGAGCTTCGGATACTACTGGAGAGCAGTAGCAATCTCCGCATTCAACGCATCGCTCGTGTTCTGGTTCGGCGGGGGGCTTTTTGGCGTCTTCGATGTAGTTAGGGGTAGTATTAGGGCCGGTTGACTCAGAAATGAGTCCTGTGGTCGGCGGAGTTTGGGCTGTTTTTCTTTCCCGGGTGTGTGTGTTCTGTACTGACAGGTTCTTAGAAATCCGGAGCTTGACTTGTGCCCGTACCCTTGTTTCATGCTGAACACCCCCGTAGAAGGCTGTTACAGTTCTCGCAATGATAGGTAGGTCGATGGTGAAGGGGCCTTGGACTTGGGAGGTTGCTTTGGTGTGGGCCTCTGTGAACAGCGATTCTGGGACAGTTCCTAGAAAGCCTTGAAGGACTTGATCCCATCTCAACCAACTGAATTGGGAGGATATTTCAAAGATAGTTTTTGTGGAGAGATCGCCAAAGGACTGATGGGGGTCATAAAGCCTGGGGGTAATGATTAATGTTTCGCTCGGGGATGTGTAGGTTTGGCTGACAGGGACGACAATCTGGCGGGGGAAGTCTTGAAAGGCAACGTTTATGCCATCAAATCTGATTGAGAAATGTAATAACGGCCTCCCACTGTCATCAAGCATAGGGTTGGGCTTTGATAAGGAGTCAGTGGTTAGACTGCGGCATGTCCCGCAAGTATTTAGGAGTCTCATGATTTCTGTTCCCCTCCATGCGGATTCGCCATACAATCGCTTGAAATTTGCATGCATATCTCGAATAAATTTAACCCGAGGGTAGAAAAGGGGTATCCAGGAGTTACCTTGGGGCATAGCGGAATCATTGCAGGAGACAAGATTCTTCTTGAAGGAATTAACGAAATCCAAGGCGGTATACCGGTATATATTCGTCCACTGGAAAACCTCGGAGGCTTCGGTAAGGCTAAGGTTGCGCCAGAAAATTGTGAGCGCAAATGGCATAGCCGCTGAATAAACGGTAAAAACAGGAGAGTCTTCCTTTGGGGTATCTCTGATTGGCAAATAGTCTAATATCTATGTAGGGGATGGGATTAGTAGGCATTTTTATAAAGAATGTAAGTGGGACTTACGACTGGCTTGTAGAGGTCGGCAAAAGATGTTAGGTTAATGGCTGCCAAATCCTTGAAAATTAAGCCGGAATACGGTTGGCTAGGTTCTGCATCCTTTGGGGTTGCTTTAGTAGTTTCTCCCGAGGCGTTTTGTTCATCTCCAGTCATAGTCGGAAGGTCAGATGTGCCAGAAGCGCTGGGAGCTTCAACTTCCTCTGGTTTCCAACATGCTTGGAGATTCTCAGAAGGGATTAGGCTTGGAGGAAGCAATGGACCAAGGCCCCGTTGTTGGATCCCTTGCCTTGGGGATATATGTGGCGTCTTGGGAGGTATCGGAGCTTCTGGTGTGTCTAGCCATATGGAACTTGTATGGTTGACTGCGGGGCTCAACTCCTGTTCTCCACTTGGGGTGCCCCTATATTTGGGGTTAGAGAGTAACTGTCTAATCGTTTCCGCCAGGCCACCGGAAGGATCTGCACAGGAAACTAGGTTCTTGAATTGTGCAATTAAGGGGATTTTGTCTCTCTGACTGTGCCTAATGAATGTTAGTCATCACTAAACAAATGGGGAGAACGGGGTTCGGAGGAAACCTGTTATTTTCAGACTCGAGTTCTTTCAATCGTTTCAATAACTGCATACTCGCTAGAAGATAGAATTCCGTCGAGATTCTCTTTTTCGAGGAGCTCCATGCTTCTTCCAGCGGATGGCAAGACTGCTCACAATTCTCCCCATTGATAGCAGCTGCTCTCTTGTGTGAGATGGTTAGGCTTCTTGGGGGTCCGGAGCTGAGCATATGAAATTCATCCAATACTCCGATTGTCTTTTGCACCAGTTCCTGAGGTAACTGCTGAGCACCCCCAACCTTTGGTAGACATGAGGAAAAAGAGGTTAGGGAATCCTTAATGCTCGCAGTAAGAATTTCTGTTTGTCCTACACTGGAGGTGGTGGTGGTATTAGTGTGTGGTAAAGGGGGGTAAGGGGGTAAGGGGATAAGGGGATAAGGGGATAAGGGGATTAGGGGATAAGGAGATAAGGAGATAAGGAGATAAGGAGATAAGGAGATAAGTGGAGCCGGAGTAGGAATCCAGAAACGCACCTGCTAGCGGAATCTAGGAGAATTGCAAGTATTTGGAAATTGTTCACAAGAGCATTTGTAGTAGCCAACGCCTGTTCTCTATAATTGCCGGGTGTCCGGACCGTGCGGCAACCAGGACATTCCATTTGAGAACTAAGCACGATGAAATCTTTTAGATATAACGGGATAACTTCGGGGATTCGGGGGATATGGCGGAAGTGAGGAGGTGAGGAGGACGTGGGGGAGGTGGAGAAAGGGAGAAGAGCTTACTCGAAGCTGAAGTGTATTTATAAAGTGGTGTTAGACGCGTATAAGAATTTGCTTCTTTGTTTGCCTGCTCTACTCTCGAGTGTGCAGACGTAATCACTGATGTACCAAGAATTAGGAGGCTACCGTAAAACACATGCGCACATACGAACACATGAGAGCGTGGGATGCTGTAGGAGCGTAGCATTGGTGGATTCCGCTTTTTCACTTGACATCAAGCTTGAAAGGGTGGTGCTCGATTGTGGGAATAATCCATTTCTCTCCCCCCCATTACGGAGGCACCATATCACACGAAATGTTGGAGCAAAGGCGTGGTGGGAACACACTGTAAGTTAGCTCTTCTCGCCGGGCTTTAGGAGGAGAATTCTTGAAGCGGCGCCTGTAGTTGAAGTTGAAGGCAAAGGATGGGATGTCAACTGTTAGCTCCACTCCAAACAGGGGTAGTGGTATATGCTTATTTTTGTTCTGGGTAGCTGGCCCCTGTTAAGGTCTGTCCTATACCATGTCCGCCCAAAGTGTACCTTCGCAGTCTGCTCAAGGGAAGTGAAGGGATCATAGCAGCTCACTCGAGTTGTCCCCCTTCGTTTGGGTTTATTTACCGGTGAGGGACCTGCTATGCAGGGACTCATGATGCGGGTTTCGGTATTTCTTTTCTATGGGCTGGCAGAGGCTAGAGGACATAAGATGTTAGGACATTTGGTGCACCTGTGTTCTGTTCCTGGTATTCCCAGCTATCACAGGTCGTCGCACTCCCCACTAGTACCTTCTAAGTTGGACCCATGATGGTTTTGAACTATTAGGGACATAAGTTATCCCAAGGTTCCCGTTCTCTTGAGCACTTGCTCTCATATCTCCGATTTGTCCGGAAGCCGTTGCTGTTGGGATACGGTATTGTTGCAGAGAAGCTTGAGCGGTATCATACTGGGATGTGTCAAAGCGATGTTCGAACAAACACCGAGCCAGCTGTCAAGCATAGGCTGACCCCCTCAATAGGGTTATGATACTCGGGTGCAAAGTAAGGACTCGCCAATTTGCAAAGTATATGGAAATGGGGGTGCCACATGAAGGAAAAAATTGGGACGACGCCATTCTCTGCTAGAGAATAGGGGTATTCCGCACAATCACCAACCGCCCGGAAATATTTATGATTCAGGACATTGGGTAGATAGCTTCGATTACCTCCGGGGATTTTTTTTCCCGCACAGATTGTGGGGAGTTCTTGTCAAATGAGTCCCCAGCTTTAACTGCTGGATTTAAGATTACCTTGTTTTCCAGCCCTGCTGGCTGCTCAACAGGCATTTTTTGGTGCTGGTAGAGTAGAAATGGTACCTATATTCCCAAAGCAAGGAGGGGTAAAGTGGAGAAGCGATAGGACCAGTGTATGGAATTATTTTCACCCCAATGCTAAACTCTGGGTTGATATAGTATCAGTATGCGAAAACTTCCTATTTTGGTGGGCAACCGCCCTTGTCTCACTATCTTCTTCACTCTTATGGTGCCAAGATCCTCGAATAAGGGAGTAAAACATCGGTTGGGATTTTTATGTTCAGATACTATGAATTGACATGCTCGGGTACTCTAGAGTAGATTGTGGTAGCTGAAGTGGTCGGTGCTCGAGTATAAGTCAAGCTTCTCCCTACTCGAGTACCATTAAACACCGTTCAATGTGTGGTAGGGAAATATCGGAAAATAAGGCACGGGATTCTGGAGCTCTGATTGGAGCATTTGGTTGCTCGGGCCAATGGATTTCCCGTCGTACTCGAGTATGGTAGGTACGGTAGGTTGTACGAGGGGGTGGAGAAAAGTGATCGGAAAACCGCTAATTTGACCACCTGTTGCCACAGATGGCCAGAGAGCAGCCAATCAGGTTTCAAATATAATGTGAGGAAAAAAGTGATCGGAAAGCAGAAGATCTTCCCATTCTAGTATGATGTAGCCATACCACCTGCTGCAATCACAGCTTCAAGGCGTTCTGGCATACTACAAATTAAGCCATCCAACCGGTCAACCCCAATAGAATCCCAAACAGCCTTCACTGCTGTAATTAAAACCTCTATGTCTTTGATTCTCCCAAAGGTCTCTCCTAACTCAGTCTCCAAATCACCCCATAGCGCTTCGATGAGATTTAAATCCGGGGATTGTGGAGGCCACGCGAGTTGCTCGACATTGTTGATTTGACGGCAATGCTTCGAAAACTTCTGATGTCCTGGGGCACCATCTTCGACAACCTATTTTGTTACTATTAGTAATTAATAAAATCTTATTTAAATGTGTGTTCATATAATATTACCTGTGTCCAGCCATATCATTCACAAGTTTGATGCCAAAATGGGATAAGAATAGGATCAAGGATGTGAGTAACATAATACCTAGAGTCGACCTTGGTTTTTGGAGGAATAGTATGTAAAATGGTCTTCATTTCACCACAAAATCCACCACAAACCATTACACCTTCCTTTCCTGACTCCCAGGTTTCATCGATGCAATCGGCATGAAACTCTTTGTCTGGCCTACATAAAACCCAGGGCCGATGCCTAAAGCCTACAGTTGTAAAGGTAGACTCATCTGTCCATACAATTCGTAGCCAATCGTCATATGTCCAATGGAGTCGTTCCTGACACCATTGGACATGAAGAGGTTTATTCTTTTCACGAACGCTAAATCTAATATTATAATTAATTTATACAATTAGCTCTAATTTCTATAGATTTAAATATAAAAAAAACAAATACTGAAATAAAACAATTTGAAGTAAGATTAAAAGAATATACTTTTTTCGTGGACACCGCTTATGGTATCCCATTGATGCACACACATTACGAAGTATGCGAACAGAGCAGCTATATCCAAGTACTTCCAAAATATCCTCCTATGGTAGGCGACGAGTTTGCTTATCAGTCGTGATGAAGCGTTGCAGTCGTTCTTTTTCTGCTTCATCAAAAATGGGCGGTCGGCTGGTACGATATTTGTTTGTTGGTGTGTTATTGGCTTTCGAACGAGTGTAAATATCATGACAAGTGTAATCAGTACGGGTACTTGGTTATTGGTTTTGTTTTATGTTTTGTTTTAAGTATCACTTTGATACTTGGTTTGTTTTAAGTATCGTTTGATACTTGGTTTTGTTTTATGTTTTGTTTTAAGTATCGCTTTGATACTTAAGGAGTTTTACCAAAGTGTATTGATTGATACCTTTGATTAGTTTTGTTCATGCTAGACATGAACAGATTTGTGTATTTAAAGACCGCCTGTTTTTACGATAGAAAAGGCAGACTTCGACAGACAGTATTTCAATATACTTGGTTGAACGGTTACTTCTTTGTTTCTCAGTACACCCTCGAAGCCTCCTTTAGTTCTCAGCTCTCGCCTCCTCTCCGGAAGAGCAGGCCACCTGCCAACTATCGTATCCTTTACCGATAACGTGATTAGCACCTTGCAAACACGTTACAACAAGTACTTAACTTTATATTAACAAGGGCTGCAATATCTTTCCACTTCATTTTCGCTTCGTCATGAAGGGTAATAATACGAAGTTGCTCATCTCGGGTTGTTTCTCGACGTTTTGAATCACCAGGAAAGTGCTCGTTCTGTGTTCCCTTTAAATGCATTGTAAGATGCGAAGGATATTCTGAATGGTGTTTTGGTGGTTGCACGGTATTGACTACAGACCTGTTTATATTGGATGACCTCACTCCCAAGATTGGGTTTGGGTTACTGAAACTTGATTTCTGACTTTCACAAGATCCACCAATCATATCCGTTCTGATCACTTACCCTTACACCCTCGTACGAGTGCGGGAACGCAAATCATGACGTCACCTCCCAGTCCAGGTAGCTAACGACTCACCACCTCCTTCCACCACCAACCTTTCCACCTGTTCAACCCTGGACGAACGAAGGTGTTGTTTCCCCTTCATAAACCTACCATATCACCCCCTTTTGTGATTCCCTCTCCGCGATACACTCCACTCAACATCTCAAACGAACGACCAAATTCTCCCTTCACCTCTCGCAAAGCTTCAAAATGGGCGTCGTTTCCGCCATCCTTCTAATCCTAATCACTATCATCGTTCGTCCCTATCCCCTCCCACTTTTCTCCATTTCCTTCCACCTCCACCTATGGAACTAACAAACACAACCAGTTCCCACCCCTCGGCGTCTTTGCCGTCGCAGGATGCGGTCCTGACCTCCTCATAAATATCTGCCTGACGATTTTGGGCTATCTTCCTGGTCACGTAGGTTCCCGCGAGCCCTAGACATGTAGGTTCTAATGCTGAATAGTTGCACGCGTTCTATATCGAATACGTTTACTACGAGCGTAGCGAGCAGGCGGTGGCGGGGCGTATTGCCAGTGAGAGGGCTCCTGGTATTTACTCGGAGAGGGTACAGGGAACGGTGTATGGGGCTACCTCGAATAGCGCTTAGGGTTTGGAGGGTTGATGCTGGAGTGGAGGATATAATTATGATATCATACCTTCGTTTGGGGATGGGATTATAGAGTTAAATGGGATGACTCTCACGAGGGAATGGATGGATGGATGAACGAATCGAATGTTTGCTTGGATTGAGCGTTTGCGTTTGCGCATGGATGGGGTGGCTACCTTTTAGTAACCGGAAGTTGAATTGATATTTTCTTTTATCATTGGGTGTCACGGGTTTTACATGATCGCGACAATGCACAACCCCTCGTGCCACAGTTGAGTGGCTAGTCGGTGCCTGCTCCCGCAGAAAACTTGCCAAACTTGATCACTGGTCCGCCGAGCTTGGACCACCTCTTGCATAATCATGTCAGGGGAATGTGCCTCCATACTCGGGTTCTGACGGCCCTTAGCCTGTGTGCAAAGGCTTCGTAACGGTGGGCAACCGTGGCTCGCATTCCTCACCCAGCCGCACTACCATCACACCTCCATCGCACTAGTAGCCGTTATACCATAATATGAAAAAGGCATTTCCACACAACTCCATCCCTCGAATCCCGGATACCTGTCTTCTTAAATGACCGAACCACTTCAGCTTAACCAAACCTGATGCCGAGTGATATGAAGTGGTGGCTGTCTGGGAAGTGTTTGTGTATGGGGGCGGGCTCTATTTAGATGATGGGTTGTCCCGTTCTTCATGGGTGAGGCGGCCTTTATTGTGCTGGGATATATGTTCTCTACTTGTTAGGTTGTTCGAGAACGTGTTTTTCTCAGGACCATGGGGGGTATGTCTGGGTGGAAAGGTTTCTTGAGAGAGAGATTTATGAAAATAAACCTGCATCATTACATGGGAAAGGGGAGTTGGGAACTGGTAGTTAGGCTTGGGTCACAGATTGGCGAGAAGTGGGAGGGAAAAACACGTAAGCATTTTATCATACCCCGGGGGATGCTCTCCTTGAATATTCCGGTGCCTGAAATATGACTGAAATACGCACCGCAATTTTTGCCCATTCTTTTATCTGCTCCTTACGGAAAGTGGAAAAGCAGTTGGAGTAGCTGAGTACCTGTTGGAGTATCTACATTTTGAATACAACCCCCACCCCCCCCAGCACTTTGCGCAGGGCCCCAAAGAAAGCAATGATTACTACTCTATCTGAGTTTGGCAGGAAGAAAAACGAAAAAACGAAAAAAAGAAAAATCCGAAAATTTATATCCTAGGGGGCCTCAAGTACCCTGGTTTCCTTCCGGAATTCTTTTTCCGCAAAACTCGCCGAACCCTTCCGGACCAGGAGACTTCAATTTCGGCGTCCCGGCCTCCCCCCTCCTTACCAAAAGGTTCGTTATTGGCGTTCCGACTTGAGTGGGGGGAATGTGCGGTGTGATTTTGTAGTTGTCCTGAATAGCCATCAGGTAGTAGCGTATTACGCCGCAAGAGGTGTGGGGGGTGTTGTGCCGTACAAGTATGGTGCCGGACAACCAAAATGTGCCCACAACGATCACAAAACAACAAGAAATAAAATTATCAACAGCACAACCACTTGAAGTAATAGAGGAAATTTGTCTGGTAGATTGATAGATTAGTATCAGTTAAACATATTTACCAGAGGAAATTCAGGGAAACCAAGTGGTGAATGTAATTCTGACTTTTTAAGTGGAGTGATTTTGTATAGGGCCGCAGGAGTTGGCCAGGGAGAAAAAGAGCCAAGATACCAAGGATTTTAGTGAATCTTGGCATGAGTGATATCCTATGAATGAAACTAGACTAAGTAGAGTTAGTAGATTGTTAGAAGCGAAAAAATGAGGCAAAAAGAGAAAAAAAAAAAGAGGAAAAGACAAAGACACAAACAGCCTACCCAGAAGAATTATCACAATATCTACAATTGTGATCACGAACGAGACAGTTATGGTAACAGAAAAACAAAAACGGTAGTCCAATCTTGCTTTAGTTCAAGCAAGAGAAAGTAAGCTGAAGAAAAGCGAAGCAGAGGTAAGTTGCTTGCTAGAAAACAAATTCTAATTCACTTAGATTGTAACCAGTACGGGTACTTAGTTATTGGTTTTGTTTTAAGTATCGCTTTGATACTTGGTTTTGTTTTATGTTTTGTTTTAAGTATCACTTTGATACTTGGTTTGTTTTAAGTATCGTTTGATACTTGGTTTTGTTTTGTGTTTTGTTTTAAGTATCGCTTTGATAATTAAGTAGTTTTACCAAAGTGTATCAATTGATACCTTTGATTAATTTCGTTCATGCTAGACATGAACAGATTTGTGTATTTAAAGACCGCCTATTTCTACAATAGAAAAGGCAGACTTCGACAGACAGTATTTCAATATACTTGGTTGAATAGTTACTTCTTTGTTCCTCAGTATACCATTGAAGCCTCCTTTAGTTCTCAGCTCTCGCCTCCTCTCTGGAAGGGCAGGCCACCTGCCAACTATCATATCTATTACCGATAACGTGATTAGCACTTTGCGAACACGTAACATTTTTTTAACTTCAACAAGTGGTTAAGAACCTGTCCCCAGATTTAGGACAGATCAACCTATCGATATCCACCTCAGAACGCTAGCGGAGAGAAGTGGCAGAATCACGGCATATTTGGCTTCGTCTCAAATCCAAGATAGAGTCTTTGATGACTAGGAGTGGGAAGCAAATCCTACGACAAGACCTTACAAGAAAGAAACAAACCCGGCACTCTGCTAAGGAGCCGGGCGAACCTGCAAACACGGAAGACACACAACTTCTAGGAGAATTTCCTTCTACTCCAGCAAAGAAGCCTTCCTTTGAACCTCTAATTGACCCCGAATCCAGTAGCGAATCAGACATGGCTAGCACAGGAGGAGGGCCCTCTGGAGGAGGAAAATCTCGGGCTAGGCTTGAAGAAGAGGAGGTACCCGCAGCATTTGAACCTCCTAAGTTTAAAATCCACCTCCCAGTGAAGTTTACAGCAGAAGGAAAAGACCTCAAACCCGAAGCCTTTGACCGATGGGCGACGGAACTCACACACTATCTTCTCCTGCAAGGGAAAGATATGGAAGACCCTACAACCGGACTATACATTGGATCATTCTGCGAAGGAAAGGCAACCAACGCATACCATCAATGCTATAAGGGCTACGGTGGAAATGTGAGATTAAGAGGATCTACAGTCCTCAATTATCTGAAAGGACGATTCCAATCCTCTCTTACCAACGACCTCCTATACAACAAATTCAACCAGCTCTAGCACGTTAATGGAATACATGTCAAGAGAATTACAGATATAGCTACGGATCTATTGATATATCAGGACCGAATGAAGAAAGGAAGCATTTCCAAATACATCCTTAAGCGACAATTCAATGATACTATGTATCCTACCCTCCGACAAGAGGTAGAACTACTCAAGGAAGACAACGACGATATTGCAACAATAATTGCAAGAGCAGAATGAAAGGACGCCATCCTCCATGAGACCAAGGCATACAAGACACAGACATCCTCTAGCAGGAATAGCCAACCACGACACAAGCCCTCCAGCAACTCTGAAGATGATACCCCACCGGTTTTCAAGAAGAAAACCAAACCCTCCAAAGAATCGAGATGGCAGAAAGGAGAATGTTTTGAATGTGGAAAAACAGGACACATGGCAAAGAACTGCCCTACGAAGAAAGGGAAAGGAAAGGCGATTAAGCAAGAAGCATCGGACAACAATGTTGAGCACGATAGTGATAATACCCAATCCAGTGAATATGAGGAGATCCATATCGGATATATCGATGTGGAGTGCAATAGTGTCCGACCTCTAGCTACATTTAAAGCACACACTGCCCTGGAAGGTACTATTCTAATAAATGGCAAGAAGGCTGCAGTACTATTCGATACTGGCGCGATTGAAAGAGATATGATCAGTAACGCCTTTGACTCTGTCCATGGACTCCCAACTCGAGACCTTAACCAACCCATACCAGTCAATATGGCAGTAAAAGAATCACGATCCACAAGTCATAAAACCTGCAGTGCAACTATGCGACTTGGTTCTGCTGTCCTACCCCCCCAGGAAATGCTAGTTGGAAACTTAGCCAAATATGATGCCTTGATAGGGATGCCATTCCTGAATCGCCACAAAGCTGTAATCAGGTGTGGGGAATCGACCATCGATTTCCCAGATCAGAAGATCAGAGTTTCTTACAAGCCAACAAGCAGAGAATACTGAGCTGTAGTCTGTGAAGCAACGGCCCAACGCCTATTGGATGAATACTCTGATGTTTTCCCAGATCAGACTCCTGAAGAACAACCGCCTATGAGAGAAGTAAACCATCACATCCATCTTCAAGACTCCTCTAATCTTAAGAACCAACCCACCAACTCTCTCCCTGATGCATACAAAAGTCTGCGATGCGACTGGATCAACCAACAACAAAGAAGAGGAGTGATCTACTGAGCAGAAACCCCAGGTGCCACTCCTATATTTGTTCAACCCAAAGCAGATGGCACAAGAATCCGCCCCTTGGTTGACCTCAAACTACGGAATGAAAACACGGTTATGGACAGCTCTGCTATCCCAAACCAAACCCAAATCCTGAATGCAGTTAGACGGGCTAGATTCCGAAGCAAGATTGACATAAGCGATGCCTACTTCCAAACAAGGCTAAATCTGGAATCCAAACACTACAACAGTTTCAAAAAACCCTTCGGAAGTTTCATTAGACGAGTTATATTACAAGGTGATATGAATGTGCCCGCTACCTTTATGCAAATTATGGAAAACCTCCTAAGTGAATACCTCCACCATTTTGTCTGAGTTTACATTGATGATATTCTCATCTTCTCAAATACCAAAATAGAACATGCTTATCATATAGGTTTGGTTTGTACCAAACTAAGGGAAGCTAAGTTCTACACTAGCAGAAATAAATCAATCCTGTTTGCCGATAAACTCGATATCCTAGAACATGTTATAGATGATGAAGGAATACATGCAGCCCCAGGAAAAATATCCTGTTTAACAGAATGGACAACACCCCGGAATCAATAGGAACTCATGCGATTCCTAGGACTAGTCAACTATATCTCCCAGTTCCTACCACACCACGCCACTGTGACAGCGCTGCTCACAGACCTTACCGGCAATGCAGAATTTGTCTGGACCCACACTCATGACCAAGCCTTTACCAACATCAAGGAGTTGATTAAAAACGCCAATGTTATACAACCTATTTACTACAGTAAATCAGAACCGATATGGCTAATTACTGACGCATTGGATGTTGGAGTTGGAGCATGGGTTGGACAAGGACCTCTCATGAAATGGCAAGACCAGCGGCATTACACAGCAGGAAGTTCACTAATTCACAAATAAACTATGGAACAATGGACAAGGAAGCCCTTGCTGTGATTGATGCTCTCGTCACTTTCAACCACATCCTGATAGGCAATACCTTCACCATTGTTACTGACCACCAACCTCTCACTAATCTTAAAACAGAAAAGGTACCTGGAAGGAGAAGAACGCGATGGATAGGTGAGATTAGCAAATACGATGCAAAAATCATCTATACCCCTGGAAGAACG